TTCCCACGGGAAAACACGTTATAATACAATCTAAAAAAATTTATGATCAGAATTACTTGAAACTTGGTATAAGTGCTCTTCAATACAATTAATTAAACACGTGTTTTAGCATTTTTCGAAATTCATCCAATAAGGGAGTAAAATAGGTAGCACATACAAATATTAGTATTTTATTAATATTAAAGGTATTAGGTTTGCATAAGGAGCGTATTAGATAAAATCTTTTTAAAGTTATTTTATACTTTTTGAAGTTGGTTTTTTTAACGCAGTTTTTTTTTACTTTTTAGTGGTTAATAATAATATATAATCAACCTAAATGAAAACTCGACTACACACAGTTAAACTAGTGCACAAATTAAAATAAAATTACATCATCCACGTAAATAAAATGTTCATAAAATGAAAACTACTGCGCTATTGCTGCTATTTTTATGGGACCAAGTGGCAATTATTCCGCATCAAACTAAAGAAGAATCACGTACCTAAATGGAATCATAAATTTCAGCGTAATCGGTGTACATACATAAAAATTACCAATCGAATTGAAAAGTGAGAACCTCCTCCTTTTTGAAGTCATTTAAAAAAAATGCTTTGTCTCGACGTTTGAGTGTAAGAATCGATTTGATCGCATTTTTTGTTTTTGGTAGAAGCAAAATAAACGTTTAAATAAAGAGTTTTATATTCACAATGTAGAAAAGAACAAAATAAATAAAATTCTACTCAGGGCAAAATAATCAACATAAATTCTCTTTAATTGAGTGAAGTTTTTCAGTGTTTTGATTTGAAAAAACTGATTTGGTAACTCTTAAACGCCTTTAAAGTATACTCTTGATTTTGAGCCTTTATTAATTGTTCATCGGGATTGTAAAAACTAATTGAGTCATTTATTTAGTAGCTATATGGCGGCAGATGGATGGACATTGGCTGTCTCTATTAAAAAAAAATCTTAAAAGCAGCTGCGGGTTGGGAAGTTGGGTGTTGCATTACGTTCCTATACAACACAAAACACTTAAAAGACGTTGTTTTTAAACTTTCTTTAACTTTCGCCAGTCCAGTTGGCTTGTCTTTTCATCGGTTAACAGGATGAAGAAACATATACAAAGAAGAGAGAGATTTATATTTGCGCATATATTTGCATCCGAAGTATAGTATCTTTCCCATAGATGTAGACCAATAACATTGGTATTAATCCTTCCACGACCGCGGACACGCCGGCGTTACAGTTAACAATAGATTTTTTAGAAATTTAATTAATTTCTTAAAAATGTAGCTGGAGGTGTTTAAGATGATTTTGTCAAAAAAACATGGCTTAGCAAAATAATTTTGTCTTGTATCTTATTATTTGCCTCAGCAACTTATTAAATATTAGATGCTGTGATCTCAGCTGTCATCTAATTGCAGTTATCTTAACTCCTAATATTATTTAACACACAGTCTCTCCATATCCTATAGAGCAATGAGAATAAAAAAGGATATTCTCTCTGGTTTGAATGTAAACGGTAAACTTTCAGATATTTAAATAATATTTTTATTAGCTTTTTGTGTTTTTTCGTTCGTACTATTGCCGCGTGATACTGACGTTGACAAACTCCACCACACCCTCATCCGCACCATGTTAACATGCATTTAAATGTGTAGATTGTTATCATTTAAACACTTTTTAGTAAATCTTATCTATCATACTGCAATTAACGTCAAATATTTGAGTTAATTCATTTTGCCATTTATTTATACTGCTTTTGACCAAGTTCTAACATCAGTAGGTAGAGAGATGTTACAACAGGCGGCTCTCTTAATAACTGCCTTCATGGTTATCCAGGTAAGAATTAAAGACCAAATAACTAAAAGAACCAAATTCTCAAAAAATATTTAAAAGAAGCTTTTAACACTGTGTTCCATTTTGTTTAAAATGGGGTATAACTTGTACAATAAGAATAATAGGATAATATGAAAATTTCATTTACTTATAACTGAATGGATGTAATTAGAGTTATTGAACCTCTGATTATAAAATTTAATTATTTAAGTTGGGACAGCAACACCACACCTACGTTAGAAGTCGACTCAAGAGTAACTGTACTGATAGTGACAATGACTAAGAGTTAACACAAATACAGGCTTATGGCAAACTTTAGATAGTTAAAAAAATAGTAAACATATTCACCCTCGCTTCGCTCGGGCTCGTCTCCCCTTGATTCCCCATACAAACTTTCATCCCCATTCTCACCCCTTTAAGGGATGTTTTTCAGGATAAAAAGTATCCTACGTCCTTCCCAGAGTCTCAAACTATCTTCTTAGCAAATTTCATCTAAATCGGTTTAGTAGATCCAGAGATTACCCCCTCCAACGTCACAAACTCACAATTCACAAACTTTACGTGTTTATAATATTAGTGTAGATTAATAGAAAAAAATAGATTTTTTTTCTTTAAGGTAAACAAATTTTATTAAATTATTCATATGTAGGTATTAAGCCCTTTTTAACATCCCACTGCTGGGCACTGGCCTCCATTCGATAGGAGTGGGATCAGGGCCATATTTCATTTCATAGTCGATCACGCTGGTCAAGTGTGGGTTGGCTGTTGTTTTCCGATTATCCGATATTTTCCTTCACCGTAAGACAAGTGGTAATCATGTTCGAAATGATTCGCACATGGAAATATCAGATTTGAACCCGATTTACTCGGTTTCCCAGTAAGCGCGCTACTTACTACTGGGCTATCACTACCTTCAATTCTTAAAAAGTAAAAAAAAAATCATACTTATGTAGATTTTATATTTCTTCAGGCATTTAACCTCGATAGATATGAAAACGACGTTGAAAGTGCTGCAGGTAAGTTTATGTGCATAACATTTGTTTATTTATGTTTAATTGAAATTAATTAATTTAGGTTTCTATAAAAGATTTTTTTTATATTACTTGATTATTATTTTATATATTACTTGATACAAACCTTTTTTCTATTCCCCACCACACAAGTAATTATGGTAAGGTGATTCTAATCTTTTTTTGATTATTATATTTTATTCTCGTATCTGCACTACGGGTTTCATTTTACATATATTAATACACGAGTTCATTTCTGTCTCATTAAATTAAGAAATTGCCAACCAACTCGTGGGATGAGGTTTTCTACATAATACTTTTTTAAGTTTTCGCAAATATTTCATTTTGGAATAAAACTGTTTACGATGCTTTCACGTTTTATTTTGATTTTTTCATAATATTTTGATCCTAGGCGTTTCGGATGCGTTACCACTAAAATGATACATAGAGAGATTAATATAAGCGAGCCTAAAAAACTCTGGAAAGCAGTAAAGTAAAAACTTTTTATAAATACAATACTTTGATGATGTACGATACGTTATCAAAATATTAGAATAAATCATTTGTTGGATTCGTAGATTTGACGTTCTTTTTGGTAGATATTCAATATTTATTTATTCACCACTCATCAAGGTTATGCTGTGAACAAAAGCCAATAAATAATAAGATTCTTCTGATCAATTTCACACATGAATGCAGAATCTCACTAAGCTAGCCTGCGCGGCGGTCTATTTCTTTTAATTCTAGGGTCCGGTGGGAATATCATCGGTGAGAGGTCAAGCACAAAACCGACGGCTTCTAAGTTCATCGGCTGTAACATCGCCATTTCCGTTACTGAAAATTTCTTGGCAGAAAAACCTGTTATCTGTACTTGATCCGACCTGAACCCTGATTCCAGTCCTCTGGATCTGCAGCCGTACATGCTAGCCTCTAAAGTCTAAACCAACGAGGCAAATGAAACCAAATACCTTATACTTCATTAAATATTTTATATCTTTGATCTAAATGTGTACATTATGTGTAATACACCTCGTATTGCAAATAAAATAAGCGCAATTACATATTTTGTTACATTGAATAATCATTAGCTTTGCGTCATAGATACGAAAGATTCTTTATCAACCTCATTTGTCGAATCATTATTAGTTATATAAATAATAAATAAGTCTAAATAATAAACGGCAACAGGTCACAGTCTCTGATCGTAAAATCATCTTAGTAACAACCTGGAGTTGGAAAGTTGGCGGTGTTACAACTTACACCACCGCGACTCGGAGAGCATGAAAAGCCTGATCTCTCACCGGTTTAACCGATTTGATGTCGTCCCACTGGACTTTGTGAATGAGACGAATAGATAGTGTATTTCTATTGCACACACCTGTGCGGTGTGCTGTATAATATCGCTCGCGCACATGGCTAGTTTTAACTGTTAATGAGATTGACCGTTGAAATCGATCAGGAGAAGATTTGTAGATATAGCGTCGAACATAGTTTATTAAAAAAAAACTCTAGGGAGTATTTTTCAAAAATATATAGTTTAATAAAAACTTTAAAAACCCCGACCTCCAGGCACTAAAAACTAAAAAAATAACTGAAACGGGGTTTTCATTTACTATAGATACTTAGTACCTACCTAATCAGATATTTTCGAAATCGGTGTGCTTTGATTTGTATCGGCTGGCACCGACTGGAAGTCGGTTTTTTTAAGTTTTTATTTTTCTATTTTAGTGTAGATGTAATAAACAGGAAACTTTTTTAATAACATATTCGATTAATCCATTTATTTAAAAAAAATATAATTTATTCTTGGTTTTTTAAAAACCGCTCGACCGATTTCCATAAAATTTAAATGGGACCACCTGGGATGTACCTATACCCTTTGAGACAAAAACTAGAATTTTCCAAGTCGGTTAAGGTGTGTTCGAGTAGTCGGTGAACATACATAAAAAAAAAGATTAGGACGAATTAAGAATCTCCTCCTTTATGAAGAAGTCGGTTGAAAACAAGCAACTATTAATCTTGAAAAATGAAACTCTTTTCATCTAAACCTCTATGGTAGATCAATTAATATAATAAGGGCTTTAAAGTTGTTTTGTTTTGATTTCGTGAACGTAGACAACCTACCGTCCTTAATAAAAAACTTAATGGATAGTTCTAATGAATTATTGGTGAAAATGGTTACATTTAACTGTAAAAGCGTAAAGAGATCTGTAGAACAAATAAGATCTATATGTCGATTTTCTGATATTGTGGCTTTACAGGAAACGTGGCTTTTACCTCATGACCTTGGTTTTATTAACGAAATCAGTGCAGACTTTGGATGCTTCGCCAAGTCATCAATTGATACGACATCAGGTATCCTGAGAGGACGCCCATACGGTGGCTTAGCTTTATTATGGAGAAAATCAATGTTTTCCGATGTCACAGTCATTAACTGTACGAGTGATAGATTGGCGGCGGTGCAAATTAATATGGGCTGTCGTCAATTTTTGATCTTAACTGTATATTTACCAACCGATTCGGAAGAAAACCTAGTTGCGTTTACGGACTGTTTGGCCGGCATAGAAGCATTAATTGATGACAGTAGTGCGGAGGCTATATATGTGTTAGGAGATTTTAATGCACATCCTAGCGCTAGATTTGGAAAAGAACTACTGGAATTCTGTGTGGAGCACGCTCTAGTGTGTGTGGATAAAGACCTAATGCCAAGTGATACGCATACCTTCGTGAGTGAAGCAAACGGAGCTAGGAGATGGCTTGATCATTGTGTGGTGTCAAGTGCTGCTAGGGCTACTGTCAAGTCGGTGCACGTGGACTATGGTGTTTATTGGTCGGACCACTTTCCCTTAGTAATTACGTGTAAAATGAATGTGGTAATAAGTAAAATTACTTTGACGAGCATTAACTGGTTAAATGGTATTAGATGGGGCCAAAGGCGAGATGAACAAATTAGTTTATATTCTAAGTACTGCTGTGATAATTTAGGTTCTTTAAGTCTATCTAGTCAATGTGATAATTGTTTATTTTATAATTGTAAAGATCATTTGTTTTTAATTGATGAATTTTATGATAAAATTGTAAAGGTATTGCAAACTGGAGCCATTAATAGCGCAATAAAGCAAAATGATGCACCGAAAAAGCCTAAGAAAGTCTGTGGATGGAACTATCATGTAAAAGACTGTCACCAAATTGCGAAATTGCATTATGCATGGTGGAGTTTTAACAATAAGCCAAATGCGGGTGAATTGTATAATAACATGATCGTAAGCCGTAATAGGTTTAAGAACAAGCTGAAGTGGTGCCAAAACAATCAAGAAAAAATTAAATTAGACATGTTGGCAACTCATAAATCTGAAAAGAATTTTATAAGATTTTGGCGTACTACAAACTCATTTAATTATAAAACTAGTGTTCCTGTGGCAGTAGACGGTATAAGTGATAGGAGGAAAATCGCTGATTTGTTTTCACACCACTTCAGGGTTGATCCGTTGGCGACTCGTCAGGTGAGTAGTATACAGAAGAGTGACACGACTGTCAATGTATGTTTTACTGCTGAGGACGTGGCTACGGTAGTAAGCAAAATGAAGAGAGGTAAGTCTCCAGGTTTAGATGGTTTAGGTATAGAACATATATTGTATGCTGGTGATGAGATATATAGGGTACTAGCCAGCCTTTATAGTGTATGTATGAATGTTGGTTACCTACCGAAGCAACTCATGAAGACTGTGGTAGTTCCTATTCCTAAAAACAAAACAGGCGACCTTTCTAGTACCAAAAATTATAGGCCGATTTCGTTAGGAACTATATTAGGAAAGATACTAGAAAGACTCATCTATTCGGATGTAAAAGAGAATATAAAGTTGAGTGATGCTCAGTTTGGTTTTCGTTCTGGTCTTTCAACAGACTCGGCAATTTTCAGCTTGAAGGCAACGGTCAACCACTATATTAATAGGGGCACATCTGTATATGCCTGCTTTTTGGACCTGAGTCGTGCCTTCGACCTAGTAAATTATAATTTACTTTGGGAGAAACTGCATGCTTCTGATGTCCCAATAAAGACTGTCAATCTGTTGAGATACTGGTATGAGAACCAATTAAATAGCGTGAGATGGGGCGACGCGACATCTAGCGAATATAAGCTAGAATGCGGTGTGCGTCAAGGAGGGTTGACCTCTCCGGACCTATTTAGCCTTTACATAAACAACCTGATTGAGGAATTAAGAAGTGCCAGAGTTGGTTGTCATGTTGGATCAACTTGCATGAATAATTTCAGTTATGCTGACGACATGGTACTTCTTAGTCCCTCAATCAGAGGGCTACGTAAACTCTTAGCAATCTGCGAACATTATGCTGCTGATCATGGCTTGAAATATAACGTTAAGAAGACAGTTATGATGGTATTTCGGGCTGGCAGAGGTCCGGAGACGATTCCGGGCATATATTTAGAAGGGTTATTAATAGAGAGGGTTGAGCGGTTTAGGTATCTAGGCCATATTCTAACTGACAAACTTGATGACAGGGACGATATAGAGAGAGAACGCCGGGGGCTAGCTGTGAGATGCAATATGCTCGCGCGTAGATTTGGGAAGTGCAGTGATGATGTGAAGGTGACATTATTTAAAACATATTGCTTATGTTTTTATACATGTCAGCTTTGGGTAAAATTTCCTAGGCGAGCGATTAATAACATTAGGGTACAATATAATGACGCATATCGTATCCTGATGAAATTGCCCAGATACTGCAGCGCTTCCGATATGTTTGCAAAAGCTCGAGTGCCTGATTTTTTCGCGATAATTAGATCACGAATCGCTTCATTTTGGAATCGTTTGAGAGTCTCTAACAACGAGATCCTTGCCAAGTTGGTAAAAACTTTTGACTGCACGATTCTTAAGTTTTGGCTTTCGGTGCATCAGGAGGCTAATAAAAAATAGATTCTTATAGATTTAGTAGTAATGGCCTATATACTCAACAGCGATATATTGTTTTTAATTCTAGTTTAATTTAATGAAGAGTCTGACTGAATTTTGTTTTTATAATGTTTTTATTGACTTGCATATATATGCATAAGTGATATAAAAATTGACTTGTATAACTACATATATGTTATTATATTATAAATTGGGTGTATACCTTTGCAATAAATATAAATAAAATAAATAAAATAAAGGTCAAAGATGGTCTCGTATAGTGTCAGGGTGGGATGCCCTGCCGGGCCAGCATCCTCATCAGGCTGTCATCCGCATGGTGGACGAAGAAGGAAAAGTAGGCACTTGTGGAGCGTGCATTGTGCACACGGAGTGGCTTCTAACTGCTGCTCACTGTACTGCTGGGTGAGTATTTAATTACCTTCAAGTTAAAATAATGGGTTTTGGAAGTTTAAGGAACAAAGATAAAAAACTATATATATATATATATATATATATATATATATATATATATATATATTTGACTACTTTTAACTTACTATTATAAAGAGGAAAGATTTGTATTTTTGTGTATTTGAAACGAATAAATTCAAAAACTATACTGGACTGATTGAGATGAAATTTGAGAAGAAAATAGTTTGAGACCCTGGGAGAGACAGAGGATATTTTTTATACTGCAAAACATTCCTTAAGGGGGTGAAAATGGGGATATGTGTATGCGTATGTATCAATAACCGGGATGAGGTGTAACTAGGGACGAACCCGAGAGAAGCGAGGGTGATTCGCTAGTATTCAATAGTTCAATAGATTTTAATTAAGTGCCAGTGATGAAGATACACCAGAACACAGTGTGTCTCATGAAGTTACTTAAAACGATTAGCGATCACATTTTCTGTTAACTTCGTAATGTACAGTAAAGATTTTATTTGAACAAAAGCATTTTATAATAATTGTAAATAACGTTTTGTATTAAACATCAATCGGTTTAATACTTTTACATTATAGATATATTTCTTTTCCAGACAAGTGACAATTGTAGTGCGTGCTGGACTAATCGACATATCCAAACCAGAGATGCTATTGGAGACCACAGAGCATTACTTATATCCTTCATATGACGCCTCAAGGCCGGCCAGCGTCCAGCATAACGATATATCAATGATCAAACTGCACCAACCCCTTAAGTATAGCCGTACGTTATCTATATATCAACGTAAAATTGTAAATACTGTTAGATAATCTATCTCGCGAGATTGTACACTGTCGAAAGATTGTGGAGCCGTAATATACTGCTTACAATTTTATCGCATTATTTTCATTATTTTATTCGGTAAATCATAATCTATCGAAGTTAAACCGTCAAATTGTGAAATGGTAGAATTTACTATAGAGTTACAAAACTATTACAGTGGGCATAACGAAAATAGTAAAAAATTAGAATGGACAACTCGTGCTAATCTCTGAACTGGACTAAAATATAGACCAACAAATTTAGCAAAAGAACCTCAGTTATGTACAATGAATTCCGATTTTCGACGATATGGTGGCCACTAGTAGATATGCTTTTAGGTGTTATTAATACTTTTATTAGTAACAAATTTTTGAAACAAATTTTGCAACATTCTATCTTGTTTTATTATGTGTATTTAGTTTTTGCATTTCTCAGATAATTTGCGTGCCATTCGCATTCAACCAGCAGTAGAAGCGCATAGAAGTTACGCGGGAGAAACCTTAATCGTCAGCGGGTTTGGACGTGTTTGGACTGGCGGTAATCTTTTAAATTAAATTTAATGTTTTCCATACACTACCTTTTAAACACAATTTATTCTGCATATTTTTGAAGTTGTACTTCTTTTGGCTCGTTAGGGAAAAATTATGAGAGTGATTTTTTAGGATGCGACAGATTTAGACTACGGTATGAAGTTAGTCGTTAAATCTTCCTTTAGTATGAAGTGATGCTTATGTTCAAGATATTTATTTTCCAAAACCTTGCCTGCCATATTTTTCCTGACGTGATGATCGCAAATATTTAGTTTGACGAAATTTTCTACAGTGACCAAACATACGAAACGAAACAATTTAAAATTTCGACTTTAAAATATGAGAAATGAACACCTAGCCATATTTAAATAATAATAATAATGTCCTCCTGACCGATTCCGACGACGGCGACCAATCTCATTGAGACTAGCCAACTGCGCAGGAGATATTATAGTGCACAAGTGTACGCGCAGACACAGGTGCACTCTCTGTTCCTGTCACTCTCATACTCCGGTGGGACGACTGCTCGACACGACCAGTGAGAGATAAGGCGCAGGACCGACGGCTTTACGTGCTCTCCGAGACACGGGGGTGAAACACTACCAACTGCTCAACTCCGGGCTGTTACTGAGACTTACTATACAGAAAGACTCAAAACTCAACTTGGCCCGACCCGAGACTCGAACCCAGGACCTCCGGGTGTGCAGCCGTACATGGTAGCCACTACACCACCGAGGCAGTTATATTTAAATTATTTCAATACTCAATTACAAATGCTGTTTTTTATCATTATATTTTTTAAATATATTATATTTTTTACATATATTATATTTTTTAATTATATATTTTTATATTTAAAATTGTAACTAAGCCGAATCTGTACATTAAATATTTTTTGGAAAACCTTATTGAAATAGACATTATTATCGATACAGAGGCCGAATCTATAATTTTTAGAATGTTTGTCTCTCTATCTGTCTGTCTATTGCCGCATCACAGAAAAACAACTGGAGGGATTTTGATGAAATTTGGTATTGTGTTAGCTGCTTATCCGGGTCAACATATAGGATACTTTTTACCGCGGGAAAATATCTCATATCTGAGAAAAATTACGAAAATTGCAATGTAAGAGTATAATAATATGTAAAGCCTAAAAATTTTGTTTTTGGTCACCTGAACGGGAGGAGTCGCGGGCAGTGCTAGTACTTTATCCATGTCGGAATATGAAGAAAAGAGTGTATTTCATTTTTTAAGGTATTCGCGCAAGCAGATTGCAGTGGGTGTATTTACGCGGTATCCCCGATGAAGACTGCATATCAATTTTAAGCAGCAATTACATCTCGGAAAACAACATTTGTGCCCGTTACTACAATATGACGTCTCAATCCATTTGCCAGGTGAGCTAAGAGTATGAGAAAAACGAACCAATTTTCTTTTGTTTTGTGTTGGATGACGTCTCTCATCTGTTTGTAATATCAAAATAACAGGTTTTTACTAAATGCATGTGAAATTATATCCTGTGCTTATAAGAAAAATACAATTTTAAAAATTTTGTCTATCTGTCTGTCTGTTCCGGCTAATCTCCGATAAGGAAATAAGCGGAGCCATTTAGGTAATTTTGAGCTATATTGTATTTTTTTTTAAACTGAGGTACAGAAGATAAGAAAATATATATAAAGTGAAAAAATGTTTTAATTTAGTAAGATATTTAAGGAGCTTTAAAAATTTATTTCATATACTTCATTACTAGGGTGACAACGGTGGTCCTCTAGTACACATGTCTTCTGATCACGTACCCATCCTCATTGGGATCAGCTCGTTCGTTGCTGACGATCAGAATGGATGTCACGCTGGTTATCCGAGCGGTAAGTTTCTTTTTATATATCTGTAGCTTCCTGCCTGCTTTAAACCTACGGCCCCCTAAGGCGGCGGGCCGAAATAGGCCCGGTGCTGCACTGAGCGGATATTTTTCATCGTCAACGCGGGGCGGGCCGAAAGGGCCTGCTGCGATTTTTTTTAATGCATAATACCTAGAATTGTGACTACAAGCCGAAATATATATTTATCTTTGTCGATCTCTTACAAATACCTAAAATGATCGTTCCACACTAGCGAGAGAGATAAAGTTTTTACCGTCCGCACCAGCCGTAAGCACCGCGGCGGGCCGATAGTGCCTGTTCCGCATTGAATGTGTTAATATATACAATATTAGTAATTGTTCTTCATCGCTTGATTAGGGCCTACGACAAAATATACACAAATAATAAAAAATATTAATTAAAACCTTTTTTTAGTCTTTACAAGAACCGGACCTTTTCACTCCTGGTTTAAGAGTATTAGTGGAATAGACTTTGATAATCTTAATGGAGTAAAGGAGAATGAATCAACTACTCTATATTCCACTACCGATCCTCCTACCACTTATCCCACCTCTGAATCTTACTCTACTTCTGATCCTAATTATACTCCTGAATCTATTTCTACAACTTCGTCTCTCACTACTTCGCCTACCACGATTCCAATTTCTACCACTATTTCAACTGCTGATCCCAATTCCACAGTCTCACCCCCAACTACTTCCTCTAAATCTTCTTCCGTTTATCCAACTCCCTCTATTTCCTCCTCTACAGTCCAGAGAAGTTCAGATATTAATAATTCAGAGGTGCAGAAAGCAATGGAAGTAGACATAAGAGTCAACGTAAAACTTAACAAAGAAGAAAAAAGAGAACATACCAACGGCAATACAGCATAAATCAACGGCAATGTAATTAATAAAATATACGTATGAATACAATTTGTTTTTTATCTACCACTAGTGAAGTACGCCTTACCAACCCTTTTTTTAGGGTTCCGTATCCGAAGGGTGCCAACGGAACCCTATTACTAAGTCTCCACAGTCTGTCCTCCCGTCCGTCCGGCAGAGGACTGTATCTCATGAACCGTAATAGGTACAGAGTTATAAAAATACATATATGGTGGTACGGAACCCTTCGTGGGCGAATTCGACACGCACTTGACCTATTTTTAAATAGGAATAAAACTAACTACAGTAGTATACTTCTTTACATTTTACAGAAACCTTTTAAGTGAATCAATCCATATACAGGATCATTTTTAATTTACTGAAAACCTTTTGGGAATACACTATTTACAACATAAGAACAACATCTGTAAGAAAAAAAGTCATATATCTTAAATTTAACAAAAATAAAAATATTTTTATTGCACCTTCTAAACGGTAATAGTCCAGCATTAGCAAAAGAAAGCGCGTGACCGGTGGAGGGGGAGGGATGAAGGGGTGTAGGAAGCCGCGCTTACTCATTTAAACTTTTAAGTTTAGAAGGTGCAAAAAAAATATTTTTATTTTTGTATGAAAATAAAAATTTAAGAAATATTATTTTTTCTTGTTACAGATGTTGTAAAGAGTATTTTCTCAAAAGGTTTTCAGTAAATTAAAAATGACCCTGTATAATATTACGTTCTTTTCTCGGAGAAATCTATTCAAATTCAGAGATATTAAATTGATATGAATAATTATTCATTATTTATTGTAGGTATGTTAGATATAATTATAATTAGATAAATAGTCAAATACTAATATGTTTTTTAAGCTATTTTTTTTTCATATTACCAGTAGGTACATTATAATAAAGAAAATTACAAATATCTATTCTAATAAATGGAGAGCCGATTTTTTTGTTCGTTTATACAGCGATAACTACTGAACCGATCGGAATAATACTCGTACCATAAGATGCAGCGTGTTTCGGAGAAGGTTTTAGTATATGATATGTTGGTGATTAATGTACTATGCAGGCGGAGCCGCAGGAAAACGCTAGTACTTATATAATTAAGTATAATATAAACGTAAAAAAGTTAATAAACTTGATAATTTAGTTGAAATTTAAATTAATTGACGATTCATAGTGCAGAGTGCCTGCTTGTATTAGTCTAATTGAATAAAGTTAATTTATGAAGTTATACTTCTTTTGGTACGTTCGGAAAAAAATATGAGAGTAAAATTTCTACGACGCGCGCGCACGTCGACAGCCAAAAAGCGACATGTTGAAGTTAGCTGAAAGCGACATGATGAATTTAGCTGCATTCCTTTTACAAACAGAGAGTTGTGAAATACGGGATGAAATCTTTAGCTATTTTTGTTTTGTTGCGCCAAAAAGTATAACTTCTTACGTACGTACGTATAAGTACACACACAGGTTTTTTAATGTAATTTCAATCAAATTATCATCTATTTTCCATTTTTCTGGTACCCTTTTTATCACCGGGATTAAAAAAAAAGCAATGCTTGACCGCTAACTGATTAGTATTCATGTAAGTATATGAATGTAGAAATTGTAAGATTATTGTAATAAATAATATATTATCTAAGTTATCGGATATAAATATAATTACTGTGATTGGGTTTTTTTATTATTTTTCGGCGTCTTATGATTATTTTGACGTAGTTTTACTGAAAAAAAAACGAACTTGAGGGTAGGAAAGAAGATGTTACAGCGGGTGGCAATACTGGCCCTAGCGGTCCATCAGTTTGTGAGTTTGTGACGTTGTAGGGTGTAATCTCTGGATCTACTGAACCGTTTTAGATGAAAGGTAAGAAGATAGTTTGAGACCCTGAAAAGGACATAGGGTACTTTTTATCCCGGAAATCATCCTTTAAGGGGGTGAAAATGGGGATGAAAGTGTGTGTGGGGAATCAAGTTAGGAATGAACCCTATTATATGAATATTTTGTAGAAAACATTCGTGCTATCCGAGTGCAGCCTTCATAAAGCCTTCACAAACGCATCCCGTTTAGAGATTACTCAAATGAAGTAGTTTACGCCAGTGGATTTGGACATACATGGACTGAAGGTAAAAGGAATTTGAAAGTATACGTCATTTATTTCCTTAATTATCGAGACATTCGTATGACTGATAATAATATAATTAATTGATGTAGAGCATGTGTTATATACATATGTAATGAGATTTCTAAAAAGAACACTCGAATTGCGCAAGTGTGCCACCACACTGATAATGCTAAATTTTAAAATTTATAAATTATTCTAAATTATAATATGCTTGTAGCGTCAACTTTTGAGCAACAATAGTGCATAGCGACTTATTCTCGGCGACGCAGCACCGTGTGTAATATTATACGAACCATTTCGTATTGGGATTAGCCAAGTTTAATCTTGAACTTCAATTTATCCTAAGTTATCTCTCTCTGTACTGTGTAAATAATTCGACTGTTCAAATATAAGAAGTTCTATTTTTAAATAGTAAACACTTTTGTAGCAGACAAAAGCAACAAATTGTGTTTTAAATTTATTTAAATGTTGTATGTTCTTATGAAAAAATTCAGGATTATGTACAGAACTTGGCATCCATTTAGATAACAATTCTTTTGTTGGTTAAATTGACAACCACGCATATTGTTAATATTGAACTTGGCTCCCATTTTCACATTTGTTTTTGATGGGATATATAAATACTTCATAAGTTCTTATTATAGGGTATTATAATAACAAATACTTTATGTGGTGTTTTTATTTAATTTTTAGCGTTTATTACGTCCTGCACTTTTCCATTACTGGTTCGAAGAATTTACTGGAATAGATTTTAATCATTTAAATGAGGATGATGATGACTCTACTACTATTAAGCCAACTGACTCAACTACATTACCAACAAAGATCACGACACTAATAAGTAATAACACTCGATAAACCGACCCGACTTAAGAACTTTCAGATACCCGACTAAAGAAATTTCAGATTTGCTTAAAAATTGCAAGTTAAAGTCAAGGTCAAGCTTAGCAAATATGGACAGACAAAAAAGATAAAGAAAGAAAAAAAAGATAGATGTTCAATGACAAAAAATTTAGTTTTTTTTAATAATTTATGAAATGTTTCATACATTTTATATTTTATTTTATTTGCATACACTCCTTTATTCCCATCGAAATTAATTTAATGCAAGGTTTCTACAATATTATTGTATATAATGAAATTATATAGAACAATTAATTATAATAGCAGTAGGTTAATAATTGCGTTATCAACTTACTTCCAAATTGTAACCATTGAATCAAATTGTATATATAATATCTATACATATAATAAGAGTCTGAGTCGAATCTGTCCTGACGAACCCGAGTGGTACGAGGGTGAGTCGCTAGTATTATCATAAGAATTCGATAAAATTCAACCGATAAATAACAACCACTTATAATGTTGTAACGATTACAATATCGATTTGATTCTGTGCGAAATGATGTATCATAGGTACCTACCTAAGGTAGCTACTACCTATACATATATTCATATCTGTATGTACTCACTGAACTTGAAAATAAGTTATAAGTCGTGTTATCAGTCAAGTGATGCTTGATTTATTAGATATAATTATTATTAATATTTTAAAAGACCTTTGTCAACCGACTTCAAAAAGGAGGAGGTTCTCAATTCGACTGTATTTTTTTTTATGTTTGTTATCTCAGAACTCCGTCATTTATTAACCGATTTGGTCAATTTTTGTGTTGTTTGAAAGTGTATACTTCCAGATTTGTTCCATTTAAATTTCAAAAAAAAATACCACCCCTAAGGGTGGAAAAAAAACTAATGATAAATTTAACCTACTTCTAATTGTCATATTGACTTGAAACTTTGCAAGTGTTTCTATTTCCGTTGATTAGGTATGTATAGTAAAGGAAAACTACCAATCAGTTATTTTTTACTTTTTTGTGCTTTTGTTTGAAGTCAGTTTTTATTTTTTTGTTAAAAAGTTTTTATTTGTTACTAAAATAACATGACGCACAGACGGCACAATACAACATATCGTCTTGGACCAACAAACGCATAATATATTTTTATTGTTATATAATAATAGGTAGTTCATTGATATTTAAATTTTAAACAATACTTTAGCCCTGAACTTATAAAAAATTTCGCTGAACAAAATATTGCACTATTGTGGATGTTTAAATAAAAGAAAGAAAACGCATGTTCAATATATATGAAAATAGCGATTCACCCTCGCTTCGCTCTGGTTCGTCCCTAGGTACGTTTTAAGGGTTAGTATGAAATACAAATCTTTGAATTTCTCGGCTTTTCTGTATTATAATAAGCATGTATTATACATATAAACCTTCCTCTTGAATCAGTCTATCTATTGCTGAAAACTGCATTAAAATCCGTTGAGTAGTTTAAAAGATATAAGCGAACAGACAGCGGAAGCGACTTCATTTTATACTATGTAAAGATAAATAAAAATTAAAAAATCCGAATGCGTAAAAAGCGAACTAAAGTTCGTTCCCATCGTTTTAGTTCGCTTTTTACGCAGTCGGCTTTTTAATTTTTCATTTAGACTTTTTGCTTTGGCAAGTTAGATATGGAGTTTTATTTAACAATTAACATTATCTTATCTCAAAGTACCTTTAAACATTTAAGTTGCGTACATTTTGATACTCAACCCGATCAGTTTAGAAAATAATCTGGCCAACCTAATTTTAGAAAATATCCATATGGAAGTCGTGTTAACAAGACAAATCTAATGGAGTATGAATCATGAAATTCGGTTTAGCCGTTCAGGAGACCCGCCTGCTCGTTTGCTCGCTAATATTATAAAAAACATACAGGACAATCAAATACTGTGTGACTGTACCGTGTGTGTCTGTATGTGTCAGGCTAAAAAGGCCAAAGATCTTACACTTACAACAAGTTAGTAAAGGTCTTTGGGCTGGACAGATATGGTTAAAATTTATTTTACAGATAAACTATGACCTAGAATACTCACAGACGCCATCTGAGCAAAAAGAGGGTAAGTTCCTTTTTATATACATATGTAAGACAGAAATTAAAGTGATCTCTGATAACTCGTAAGATTCTTGCGGAAAGCTAATTCGTAAAAGAAACACATGTGCGTCTCCTATAACGAAATTTAAATAATTGCTATTAATACCGTTTACGGTACGGCGTTACAACATCTAAATTTTACACAAGATTAATTGGTTTGGTTTTTATAAAAGAAGGTGATCAATCAATGATTACAATATCCTAACTGAATTTTGTGTACATCTTGCCCATACATAAAAAAAAATTTAAAAACGGGTAACATTTTGCTATTTGCCATAGGTTCTAGGAAATTTTAAATAAAATTTAAGCATTAATTGTAATGTTATCTGTGATACAATCACAAGCAAGACTACAATTGCTTAAATTTCTAATATTTGTGACTGTCACAGAAGTAATTTCAACCAATAAAATCACTATTTTATCACAGATTAAAAACTAATTAGAAGCACTTTAAAATAAGTAGTACTTCAAACTAAAGCTGTTAGGTTTCAAAATAGCCAAAGAAATTTTAACACCGCCAATACATTTTAACCGATAACAAAAATGATCAATTAACAGATGGCATCACGTAAATATATTATCGTCTACGTAAAATCGTTAAAAGGAGATTAGCAGTAAGTTCATAAATATTGTATATGTAGATTATTGTAATTAATTAAAGTATTATCAATTTTATCGAATATCAATACGATTACTGTGATTTGTTTGCTTCGGTTTCCTTCAACTTATCTACTTTGAAGTATGTTTATTAGGAACAAACGTGGTGGAGATCAGTAGAAGGGAAGATGTTACAGCGGGTGGCAATTTTAATACTGGCTCTGGCGGTCCATCAGGTGAGAACTACAAATTAATTATTTACTTATAATATTTGTTCTTATTATATAAATAATAATTATTTACTTTTATATAATAAAAGAAACAGGCAAAATAATTTTTTGCCAAATATTTTGTGAAAATATCCAATTTTCACATCAGTATCGAACTCTAATAGTTTTGAAATCGAAACCGCAATTTGGCGAAGACAAATGCCTTGATAAATAGCTTTAAATTTTAAGCTACATATTCTGACATTTAAAAAATATAATTAAATGCTTCAATAGGAAAATCCAAACGCTGGTTTTAAAAAAAATCTATTGCGACTAAGCACAAAGCAATTCGGTACACAATCTGAATATTTATTTACGTAACCAATGATGCACTACCAACATGTTTAGGATAATTGGTACTGAAGATGGGTAAGAAGTGCAAGATTAACTAGTTTTGGAGGCCCGGTTTCATACAGTCAGCACAAAAAATAAAAAAATGTGGATAGAGCCTTCTCGATTTTATTTTAAATTCTTTGTCTTTGTAAACTTCATTAAGATACGATTAGGAGCTACGAGAACTGTCTGTAAAAACTATGTCTAATTTTATCGCTCTATATAAATGTCATATATATATATATATATATATATATATATATATAAAATGAAACCCTATTTCCCTTGGTCACGCCATCACGTCACGCGTGAACGGCTGGACCGATTTAACTATATTTTTTGTTGTGTTTGTTATTGTCAGGAGAAGGTTCTTAAGAAAGAAAAAAATTAAAAAATTGCGCGGAAAATTATAAAATTTGAGAATACTTATTTAAGAATACTTAACAACCATTAACCATATTAAAATGTATATGGCTAACGCTGGGTAATAACTATTTATATATATTTAAAACGTACCTAGCGACGAACCCGAGCGAAGCGAGGATGAGCCGCTATATAGTATAATATAAAAAAATATATAAACCTAAAACCTCGAGTTCGTAAGCAGCGAACTTAAAAGAAGAACAAGTTTGAAGTTAACAAAGGAAAAGAGTACTATGCAGTCTGAGCATGCATATTGCATACACGTAGCGGAAAGGATAAAACATGCATGATTTTTTTTTAGTTCGCTTTGTACACAGTCAGGCTTTTTATCATTACATTTTTTTTTTATTTGCCGCTTTTTAGTTTTGGACGTTAGGAGTTTTACTTAATAATTTGTTATCCCTAATTATTAATTATTATTATTTTGGTAATCGTCTCTTAAAAATCTACATTATGATACCACTCGATGGATTTAGAAGATTTTTTTTTTCACGATACAAAAATTGTCGCCTGAAATCCGACGTTTTAAAATAATAAAAATCCACGTTATCAAGCCAAATCTAACGAAGTATGAATGGCTAAAATTGGTAAGCCGTTCAGTAATTACGAGAGATCATAGGATCGGACAAACATACATATTTACACTCATGCATAGATACATACCTACATATACACATACACTATAAATCTCCTTTGTAAACCCTATTTTTTACACATCTATATTTTAATTTTTTAGGCACCAGCCAGAGATGTTATCCCCGTCGGATATGTAGAAAATATTGAAAGTAATAGCTTTGGTAAGTTATTTTTATGGATGTTTTTATTTTAAAGCAAGAATTTACCTTGCACCTAAAAAAATATATAATTCGCGACTTCTTTAGTGACGAGCAACAGAAATAATGTGAGAAACTCTTTATATTCTGTATAAATATCACTAATATAATTCTTGTGTATTCATGTTTATACAAATTTTATACGTATTTCTTATTTCTATTCCTTTATTTATTTATATTTAAATGTTAATTTTAACACTTAATAATTAATTAAAACTTACACATTATTTCACATTTTTTACTAAAATTCCCAGAACAGTTTCCATTTACCATTTCGCAAAATATCTATTACTTCATTAACAAGGCTATGGCCAATCGAAGTTAACAATAATCGTAATTAATATCTGCTTTAGTTTTAAATCGTGGATAAGACTCATATCTCCGTATTATCTAATTTAATCAGATGTTTTAAATAATGATTTGATTGAATCATTAACACATCGATAATTAATTAATTATTGTTATTAATGTATATAACAACTACCTCGTTCGTCTATTAGCTATTATATTCGAACACAGATCATGATGTTATAAGTTCAAAACAAAGAAATAATTGGCGAAATACTTTCGAAGCAGCATGATGATGATATTTAAAAATTAAAGGTGTTACATCTAGACACATAAGAGTTAGTCCTGTGGCTTATCTCTCACTGGTCAAGTCGAGTTGTTGCTCCACCGGAGTTTGACAATGTAAGGAATAGAGTGCACAGTGAACACACTGTATTTTTATGCATATGTACTGTAAACTGTTTTAATAGAAAATATATTTGATTAATTTGTAATGATTTATATATAAGGAATTTAGTTATGTGACATTGGCCTATAGGAATGTGTTTTAAAAAAAATGAAAAAATGGCGCGGATATTCATTTGTTTTCCCGCGCTTTTGCACAGAGATGTCGGTACCACCATGTAGTGACTAGACGAATTATTTATAATACTGAAAATTATAGTTATAAATTATGTAACTCACTGACGATTATAAAAGTAGGACATAAGAATATAAGCAAGGAATATCTCGAAGTTTTATTAGGGATCCTACAGTACTTGTGCACCATAATATATTCTGAGCGGCCGGCTGGCTAGTTTTAAAGAGATTTGTTGCTGTGCCCGAAATCAGTTTGTAGGATATATGGAATATTGTTACGAGCTAGGTTCTGGGATAAATAATAAAGCATATCATTCGCACTATAGGTGTTTATTTAACTTAATTTCACAAGACTCACTTTCAGCAGTTCACACCCGCGGTACTTGCTTAATCCAGTCTCTAAATACTATTTATGTAACTGCTAAAGACATTCTACACTTCCAACTATACAACTATAACATCTACAATGTATAATATACATACTACTAATAAAAGTAGGTCAGAAATCGGGCATCACTATACTATCTCAAGGAACCAGTTTCATTACTTTTAGCTGCCTACAGTTACTCTGCCCAAAGTTTAATTCTTGCAGGAGACACACGATAGTAGAAGCTATACCTACTTGATCTAGTCCAACTAAAATATATGTAGTCATTTAAAAAGAGGCCCAAGCTAGTGTTGGGCTCCTAATAAAACTTAGAGATATTCCTTGCTCATATTCTTATATTCAGTACTTTTATAATCGTCAATGAGTTACTTAATTTATAATTATAATTTTCAGTATTACAAACAATTCGTGCCTAGTCACTACATGGTGTTACCGACATCTCTGTTCAAAAGCGCGGGAAAACAAATGTATATTCGCGCCCTTTTTTATTTTTTTTAAAACACATTTAAATCGGCCAAGGTCACATAAGTAACAGCCATAAATCATTACAAATTAATCAAATACATGAATTTCTATTAAAACGTTCAATATATAAAAATGCAACCTTACCCTAGTGATTTAAGCTAATGAAAAAAGAAAATACAACAGAAATGAGAAGCTTAAAGATCTTCTAATTAACTTCCAGACTTAGGATCGGGATCGCGTATCGTGTCCGGATGGGACGCCCTACCCGGCCAGCATCCGCATCAAGCTCAGTTGCGTTTGATCAACGCAAATGGACAGGTGCAAAGTTGTGGTGGCAGTATCATACACAGGGAATGGGTTATTACAGCAGCGCATTGTTCTGCTGGGTAAATATATATAAAATATTTTAATACTTTCTTATATTTACGCGAATATTTGACATTTTAAATAAAACTATCTTTTCGGATTTTGTCGCGGATTTATTTGCATTTTTTGCAAACAAAAATGCAAATAAATACGCGACAAAATCCGAAAAGATAGTTTTATTTAAAAATATTTTAAGTTCGAGATATAATTTATTACTAAACTAGCGGCTGACCCTTGCTTCGCTCGGGCTCGTCTCTAGAAAAGCACAAACAAATCTATCCCATGGGATCCGTTCATTTTTCCGGGATAAAAAGTAACCTGTTGTTTGACCGTCAATATAAGGTATCAGCATGCCAAATTTTACCAAATTAGGTGCATAAGTTGTTGTGTACTAAGCTGTATAAGTTACTATAGTTTTTCACTATCCCACGGGAAATCTTTAATTTTACGAAATGAAAAGTATCTAAAATGTTGACCGGGGATATAAGGTACCACCATGCAAAATTTCATTTAAATCGATCCAACAGTTTCGGAGATTAGCCCGTACAGACAGACAAGCAGACAGAGAAATAAAAAATTAAAAAAAATCTGGATTTGTTCTATTTCTCTTCTTGCATCCCCTTGACTCGGTTTTTAGCTTTTTTTCTATGTACAGATATTTGACCTCTACAGTTTTATTATATGTATAGATAGATGTCGGTGAGACCGAAAACATTAACAAAAAACAAATCATAAATTATATGGAGTACTTAATTTTTTGATTGGGACGTGATAGCCCAACGCTAACATTTTTAGTCACATCATCTTTAATGCAAACATGTACAGTTAAATTCAAATGATGATGATGATGATGATGATGTTCTCCTAGCCGATTCCGGCCACGGCGGCCAATCTCAATGAGATTAGCCAACTGCGCAGGAGATATTATAGTGCTCAAGTGTACGCGCAGACACGAGTGCTCTCTCTATTCCTATCACTCTCATACTTCGGTGGGACGACCACTCGACACGACCGGTGAGAGTTAAGGCGCAGGACCGACGGCTTTACGTGCTCTCCGAGGCACGGGGGTAAAACACCGCCTACTTCCCAACTCCGGGCTGTTACTGAGACTTACCATACAGGAAAACTCTATAACTAAACTTGGCCCGACCCGGGACTCGAACCCAGGACCTCCGGGTGTGCAGCCGTACATGCTAGCCACTACACCACCGAGGCAGTTAATAAGTTAATTCAAATAAAAGAATATGGAACATACGATTAAACTAGTTTAGATTGATTCTTGATACCTTAAATTTATTTTCTTAATAACCTTCAAAGCTTAAAGTCATATACAATATTAATAATTTAAGTAACAGTGAATAAATGTGAGTCCAAATCAAATTTTTCCAGGCAAGTTACAATTATCGTGCGAGCTGGAGGAGTTGAGCTAGCTAGACCAGATGTATCGATTGAAGCCTCCGCATCCTTCTTTTACCCCACATTTGACACTTGGAGGCCTCTGCAGGTACAACACAACGATGTCTCGCTGTTAAAACTCCAGGAACCTCTTCAATTTACTCGTACGTTGATTTGTTAATAATAATAATATATCATTTATTTCAACCATCAAGGATCATATTTTGTTAGTAAAGACACACTTTAACCTAATGTTAGTACACATTTTACCTACTCAATCCTAAACCTTATCTAAGACAGACTCGATTTGTCAGCATGTGCACCATTTGGCAATGGTTCAAATACTGACAATCGAACCTATCAGCAAAAGCCCTCAGGATGCTTTTGGAACTGGCCCGAACCCTGCGCGCCAAGGATGTGCACCGTTTGCTCATGATAGCGTAGAAACAATCTACGTGCGCTTCAGCGAACATACCCGACGCGCTGCACCAACGAGGCAGTCCCATCAGCATCGTGCATCATGCATTATTATACTGAACAATGTGTTAATTATTTATAATGTCTCGGTTCTCAACAGTGCATCTTTAAAATAGCGTTTACCTTTATTCAACTAGAGATCTGGTGATATTCATAAACATTTTTTGAAACGAATTATGAATTTCTATATTACTAGTAGAGAATAAATTAGTCTGACTTGTTAATTTTGAAAATTTTCAGGTGCCATGTTAGAAAAGAATAATTTATGAACTTAATGATATACATATATTATATATTTATACATATTTAGAACTACTCTTTTTACTTTTTGAATTTGGAATTATATTATTTATTTAGCATTAATATACGTATTATTTAATAATATTATTATTTAATTACTAATATTATGGACATTTTTAGAAAACATCCGTTCTATCCGACTCCAACCATCATCGGATGCATACAGAGATTACGCAAATGAAATAGTCTACGCCAGTGGCTTTGGACGTACTTGGAGTGAAGGTACTTGAGAACTTAATTTTAGATACACTCACTTTTTAATTAATAATCTATACATATAATAAAATTGTAACTAAGTCGAATCTGTACATTAAATATTTTTTGGAAAATCTTATTGAAATAGACATTATGATCGATACAGAGTGCGAATCTATAGTTTTTAGAATTTTTGTCTGTCTATCTGTCTGTCTGTCTGTCTATCTGTCTGTTACCGCATCACGAGAAAACCACTGGACAGATTTTGATGAAATTTGGTATGATGATAGCTGGTTATCCGGGTCAACATATAGGATACTTTTTACCGCGGGAAAATATCTCATTTCTGAAGAAAAATAAATAAAACTGCATTGTAAGAGTATACTAATATGTAAAACCTAAGAATTCGGTTTTTGGTCATCTGAACGCGGGCGGAGCCGCGGACAATGCTAGTACACAATAATAGTTGTCGTTAACTTTATATCCGTAAGGGACAAAATAGTTTATATTGAGTGTTGTTTTAGACAATGAAACTTTCAGTAATGGTTATATCAAGCTTATGATCACTTTTCAGTAAAAAAAAGCTTTTCTAAACCCTTTCTAAATTAGATAACTAGTGCAAATTTTTCGCCATACTTCAAATTAAAATAAACTGCTCAAATTTTACTCTTTCTCTGAATAGAAATCTGCAGCAATTGGTATCTTACTGCATCTTTTTATCTTCTCTATTGTTCTGGCTATTAGGTCCTGTGCCAGATATACTACAGTGGGTGTATCTTCGTGGAGTCTCCAATTTAGAATGTGCAAGAACTTATGGTACTGATGCTGTCAACGACAACACCATCTGCGCCAGATTCTTCAATGTTACTTCACAATCTATCTGTCAAGTACGTTAATAGTATTATGGAAGATTCTATCCTGCCATCAATAATAAGACATATTATACTCATATTTAGATTCAGGGGTAAATGCGAATATTTTTTTAAAGATTTGTAATCAAATAGTAGGTCCAATGCATGCGTGGATAGTCAATTTTAGGCTACTATATAAGTGCCTATGTACATTTAATTCATATAGTTATAAGAAGGACGATTATTTCCTAATACATAATTTAAATTATTGTTGGCAATATTGGGTCAGGTTAGAGGAGATAGCTACCCTAATCAATCCTTATCTTCACGATATACACATAGCATTCGAAGGTCCTTTGCCTTAATTATAGCCTAAGTATTGCCATAATGCAGTAAATCGTGGGTTCGATTCCCGCTGACCAAATATTTATAGTGGCAATGTAAAATTGATCTATTATTACAGCCTGGGTCGTGAATGCTTACGGACCCCAACCGTGTATGGGCCAGTAAATATAAATAAATTATTAAACAAATATTTTAGGACATTAACACACAGCACCATCTAGTTCCATGGTAAGCTACAAGGCTTGTGTTATAGATACCAGATAGTTGATACACTACACATAAATAACTTTAAATACATACATATTATTAATATAAACACCCATGACTGGAGTACAAACATTCGTGCTCATCACACAAAAGAATGCCTCCAGCGGGACTCGAACCCGCGACCGTTGGCACTACAAGTATTTGAGACTATATAGTGTTTGTATATTTTTAAACTTATAATGTAATTCAAAATTACTTCTAGGGAGACAGCGGAGGTCCGCTGGTGCACGTTTCTCCTGAAGGAGAGCCCATCCTAATCGGTATAAGCTCGTTCGTGCCTAGGATGCCTCACGGTTGTCACTCAGGATTCCCTGGTGGTAAGCTTCTTAAATATTTTATTCGTTGACTTTGTTGTTATATCTAACCATAATTATGTCTGACAAATTATCCGACTTACATGTGTAATATTTTAAATATCTAATAACTTTCCATTGAACAATTAGTATCCCACATGAGGAAGTAAATTTATTATGGATGAGTTATTAAGTTCAAAGAATCGCCTTTTGTAGGGTTATATATAGCCAAAAGTTGTTACCAATACTACGCTGTCTGTCCTCCGTCCATCTAACTGACTTAGGGAGATCGGTTTAAATATTCCCAGAAGATAGCTAATTAATTAACATTGGCTATTTTCCAAAATGAGCTTAAGCAAATCTTCATTTTGAATTCGACACAAATCCGATACTATAATACAAAGAAGAAGTGACAAAATACACTCTTTCATTCAGACATTTTATATTTTTAAACTTTTATAATATGTAATATAAGGGTATAACAGTATAATAATGACAACTGACATGCTGCTTTTTTTATATTGTAGCGTTCATACGTCCCGGGCCTTTCCATTTCTGGTTCAAGCAAATTACTGGCATAGATTTTGATAACCTAAATGATGGAGAAGACATAAACACAGAAGAGCCCATCATACCCACTACTTTGCCACCCACTACTTGGGCACCTCCTGCTACTGACCCTACAACTGAATCAACTACGGTTACACTGCCCACAACCACCACACCAACCCCACCAACCACACCTGACTCAGATGAAGACGAAGAAGACGAAGACGACGATGACGACGATGATGATAAAGAACTTTCCGAACTGCTTAAGAGATTGGAAGTCAAAGTCAAAGTTAAGGTCAAAATGAGTAAATATGGCCAGAAAAAATATATAAAAAAGAATATAAACAAAGATTAATTAATGAAATTTTTGATATTTATTAAACACATCAGAATAGAGATATGAGTCTTTTGTTTGTACCGGGTTCGATGACTGTCATATGAATTAATTAAATTATTGTATCAGTAACGAAGTCTTACAAAATACAGTAGAGACATAGCTACAATTTAAAATTTAATAAATATAATAATAATTTGGAAAATTATTTTTATGAAAATTCTTGCATACGTATAGAAAATATATGTATGTCGGAAGAGGATTTAGTTATCTTTTTCTGTTAGAATGTAAAACCTTATTATTGTTTAAAGTCACTATGTTATTTATTTTTATTATTTATTTTATTTTATTTATTTTAGGGAAACAAACAGTATTATTACAGGGCATACAACTTAAAATAAAAAAATAAACAAAAATTGACACGTACATAGACACATAAATATACTTTGAACACAATTTAAAAAATATGTGAATATTATGAAAATAATTGAATAATGTTATTAATTAATTTCTTGAAATTTACAACAGAGCAGTTCACTATACCTGATTAATTTAGTTTTTATTTCATTTAAAAGAGCAGAGACTACGTCTCGAGCGGGGTCGATACGCTATCATGGCATTCACTTGTGTGGCTAATGCCCGATTTCACCAACGTCACCTAAGTTTAAGGGATCCCCTAAGCATGGTTAGGGGGCTGTTAGGGGACAGTTTCTGTTTCACGGACAGTTAGGGGTCACCTAAATGTTAAAAGGCCCCCTAAATTTAGGTGCTCGAAAATGGGCTTAAATACGATCATAAAACGAAATTTAATTTAGGGGCTAGTTTAGGGGACTTAAGCTAGGGATCCCATACGTAGGTGGTAGCTTATGGGTTGTTGGTGAAATCGGGCATTAGTAACGCTTGTTGATATTACTGCTCAAACTTATTCATGTCTTCGTCACAATACGTGACACTGGCAAAATGTATTGCGTCTGTTAACATAACTGGCTTATGTTGATCATGGCGGATCATTGGAGAGTTATGTTTTGATATTCTATGTGTGTCGAGGACCCGCTGCTCAATTAAATTATTAGAATTATAATTTCAAGTGTATACTGTAACATTGTGGTTTCCCTCATTAAATTGTATTGAGCTTTAAATACTTTATTATTTGAGTCCTGTTAACGCCTACAAGATTAGTGACCTCTAAAGATGATGTCGGTAGAGTATGGATAACACCGAACACGTCATGAGAATGGGTTTACCTGAAAAGCAGGGCAGACATAGATAGCGGTCATTTGAAAAATTTGCTGTGATTTTTTTTTCAAACATTGAATCGAAATGCCATAATGTCAAATGTTATTAAAAATAGACGCATATGATAACGATGCACGTGACTTGTGTGTTGTTTTACAGAAGATTTGCTTTTACCTATTTTGTCCAGTGGCTATTAAGAAAACATAAATTTAGTATTTTTTCTTTTTGTTTGATTTTTTGGAAAATATCTCATCTCTGAGAAATCTATACTAAACGTTTTATATAATTCGAGTGATTCAAATCGTGTTTTAAATTTATGATTTTTCTATTGTATTACATATTTTACACAGAATCCGTTTGAAAAATAAATGAATCTCTATATTTAAAACTAAGTCGGGCTACTTACCTCATTTAAAACTCAAGCAAGCGGAAATAGAAACACTTGCATTGTTTCAAGTCAATATGACAATTAGAAGTAGGTTAAATTTATCATTAGCTATTTTTCCACCCTTAGGGGTGGTATTTGTTTTTGAAAATTAAATGGAACCAATCTAGAAGTATACACTTTCAAACAAAACAAAAATTGTCCAAATCGGTTCATAAATGACGGAGTTCTGAGGTAACAAGCATCGAATTGAGAACCTCCTCCTTTTTGAGGAAGTCGGTTGAAAACTAGAAACTTACCATCTACCTTATTTTTCTAACTGCTTCCCTATAAAATGAACAGAGATTACATAATACCTCTCCCTCCCGGACTAATGATTGGTGAAGGATAGTCCACAACGGTGGTCAAATGCGAGTTGGCTGGCACACTTCTTTTGAAAACTACTTATGTTTATATAGGTTTTTCTTCGCCGTAGTGAATTACGTATATATATTTGATTATTTTAATATTACGAGCAAATATAAAATCGGAAAAAGACATTAATCAAATAAGTACCTACTAGGTATACAATCCCATACAAAAGTTCTCTTAAAACTATCGCCAATTGTGTTTCGGTAATTATTTTAGTTAAAATAAATATAGAACAATAACAATTGAACCTTAAATGCAAAACTTAAAGTTGTTTTCACAACAAAAAAAATTAAAAGCGCGCTCAAATGTTCAAATGAGCGCTTTTTGGTCGCTGATTGTGTATCTAGTACTTTTTTGATCGGTGGAAAAAGAAGATAAAGTTCCCACTTGATACAAGATAAGAATTTGTAATTTCAAAATTAAATACATATGTAATTGATCATAATTATATTGTTCATAAATAAATCTTATCGTTGCATTAGTAGGTAGGGATGTACCAGTGCATCGAACTGCTTAATTATTATAGCTTTGAGAACCTCCTCCTTTTTGGAAGTCGGTTAAAAATCGATTCACCATAGGTGAAGACATCGCCTTTTTTTGAAGTCGGTATTTCTTTAATCAAATCAAGTAAGCTTATCGCCTTAAAATTTAATTAGTAGGTATTAGGTAGTTTTTTAACCCTCAACATAATTTTTATTTTTTAGAGAGACAGTTAATATTTTTTTAATTATACGCGAATATTTGACATTGTAAATAAAACTATCTTTTCGATTTCATTTTGATTTTTGGTTCCCGACGTTTCGATTGTTTATAGCAAGAAGACCACATTTGCATGTATTCAGCCCTTTTTAACGTCCCACTGCAGGGCACGGGCCTCCCTTCAGTACGAGGGGGATCAGGCCATAGTCCACCACGCTGGCCAAGTGCGGGTTGGCGGACTTCACATGTCTTTTGAAAACTTGCTAGGTTCTCTGAGACATGCAGGTTTCCTCACGATGTTTTCCTTCACCGTTAAGTCAAGTGGTAATCATGTTGGAAATGATTCGCACATGAAAATATCAGAGGTGCGAGACCCGGGATTTGAACCCGCTTCACTCGGTTTCCCAAGCGAGCGCGTTACCACTGGGCTACCACATTTGCGTGATTTTATTTTATTTTTCTTTTCATCTTTTGTACCCGTCTTTTGTGTGTACAATAAAGTATTAACATATCTATCTATCTATCTATCAATGTATTTATCTCTCAGTAATCATGGTCACGGGACAGTCTCTGCCATCAAAAATTTGAAAAGATAGTTTTATGTAAGATAGGCTAAGTTTCTAAATGCTTCAAAGTAGCTACATAATTTGTATAACGGTTGCGAAGACGAGATTCGGCATTCCAACGAAAATTATAAGATTAAAAATTTTATTAATTTTCGATTTTTCCGGACGTTAATGAGCCCTCTCATGTCGACAAACATAGAGTATAAGACTACGACCTGGAATTATACACATAGGTAACTGTTAGGCACCCAAAGACGCACCCGAGCGAAAGGAGAATAAGTCGTTCTTTAGATATAACTAAGTTGAAAAAAATGTTGATAGCATTACCATGGAGTATGTACTTTATTTTATACTAGCATTACCCGCGGCTCCGCCCGCGTTCAGGTGACAAAAAACCAGATTCTTAGGATTTACATATTAGTATACTCTTACATTGCAGTTTTTGTATTTTTTTTAAAAAGGAGATATTTTCCCGCGGTAAAAAGTACCCTATATGTTGACCTGGATAACCAGCTATCACCATACCAAATTTCATTAAAATCCCTCCAGTGGTTTTTCTGTGATACGATAACAGACAAACAGACAGACAGACAAAAATTGTAAAAACTATAGATTCGGCCTCTGATCGATAATAATGTCAATTTAATAAGATTTTCCAAAAAGTATTTAATGTACAGATTCGGCTTAGTTACAATTTTAATGTATGTATGTATGGATTAAGTGAAAATGCACTTAAAATAGAACTGTATGTATTCAACTATTAAAGCACGTGGGCCATTTTTGAAAGAAAACTATAATAAAAACACAGCATTTTTAGGTAGTCGTATCCTTCAATTTTTATCGGTTACGGGCGATGACGTAGTAAATAAAGAAAATCTTGATTGATTGTTTAGATATCAACATTAGTTGGGGCACGGTATCATAATTTATTAGATAAATGTGTTCTTAGAATATGAATTAGTAGGTATATTAAGTAATATTTATTTTGATTTTTATTTTCTACTAGCAGAACCTGCGGCTTCGCTCGCGATAAAACTACAAAAAAACTCTAAAATGGTAGGTTTCATACAAAACTTTCATCCGCTATTTTTCCCGAAAATGCAAAAACATGTATTTAATTAAGTGTATTGAAGAGCATTTATACCAAGTTTCAAGTAATACTGATCATAAACATTTTTTTGGATTGTATTATAACGTGTTTTCCCGTGGGAAAGAGATAATTCCCGCGGTAAAAAGTAGCCATGTCACTCTCCAGCGCTCAATCTCCTCACAAAAAATCACGCCAATCCGCCATCCATTTCGACGTGAAAGACAAACAAACATACAAACACACTTTTACATTTATAATATTAAGTATGGTTTTATCAATTTGTTATAAGCTAAAGTAAAAACCAAGATGAATCAATTTAAAAAGATCTTTGAACTAGAGCATGTTTTGTTAACTTAAACCTATAGTTTTCTGCTATAGGTACCTACTCGCGGTTAACAAGTATTTATTAGTCTAAAATTAGTGTAAAAGAGTCAAATGCTAACAGCCCCGGATCTTCAATTTTTTCGAGGCGGGACTAAAACTGAAATTAAATGCCGCCCCCGCCCTCCTATATTTTTACCTTTATCATCATCGTCATTTCAGCCATCAGATGCCCACTAATAGACATAGGCCTCCCGAAAAGAATACCATAAGAACCTATCTAGCGTTGCTCTTTCTGTGCTAAGCCTATTTATCTATACCTACTGATATTATAAAGAGGCAGAGTTTGTTTGTTTGTTAGTTAGTTTAAACGCGCTAATTTCAGGAACTACAAATCCGATTTGAAAAATTCTTTTTGCATTAGGAGGAAGGAGTAAGTCTATAAGCTATATATAATCGCAGAGCAGTAATCATAAATGTCAACAAATCGGGCAGACTTCCATACATTATTGTAAAGAAAAGGGAAGGGGAAGGGAAGGGAAAGAAGAATATGTTTTTTTTGTATTTTGAACGTGGGCGAAGCCGCGGGTTCTGATAGTTCACAAAAGTACGTACGTACATGGACGTGTAGGACATATTTATTTTATAGGATAGCACAGGATAGGGTCTGAAATAAAACGTAAGATTAAAAATAAAAATCAATTTAGTATATTATTGTATTGCAAATTGAAATTAAAATTTAACTCTTCGAACCTTTTGTTCTGCAAACAAATCTATGGCACACGCAACTTATTAAATTTAGTAATATTTAGCCAGCGGAAGGTTTCTAGGACTCGATAAAACCAGTTATTTTATTTTCCCGTGGGAAACACAGATTTTCTTGAAGTAAAAAGTATCCTAAATGATGGCTCGAGTAATAAATTATCACTTCACCAAATTTCGTTGAAATCGGTTCATAACTTTTAGCAAGACGCGCACACTAAAACAGACCAACAGACATACAGACAAATAGACAAACAGACAATTTTTTTAATAACTATAGTTTTGGGGTCTATATTGTGTACATAATACGTTACAAACAAACAAAAACAAATCTATCCCACGAGAGCCGTACATTTATCCGGGATAAAAAGTAACCTATTTGTTATTCTGATGTATGAACTTATATTATTGTAAAAATTCATTAAAATCCAATCTGTAGTTTTTGTATACTAAGCTGTATAAGTTACTATAGGTTTTTAACTATCCCACGGGAACTCTTTAATTTTCCGATGAAAAGTATCTTAAACGTTTACCTGGGATATAAATAAGGTACCACCATGAAATTTCATTTAAATCGGTCCAACAGTTTCGGAGATTAGCCCGTACAAAAAGGCAAACAGACATACAGGCAAACTATAATAAAACTGTAGAGGTCAAATGTCTGTACATAGAAAAAAAATGCTAAAAACTGATTCAGTGGGGTGTAAGAAGAGAAATAGAACAAATCCAGATTTATTTCATTTTTTTTGTTTTTCTGTCTGTCTGTTTGTACGAGCTAATCTCTGAATTTATTGGACCGATTTAAATGAAATTTTGCATGGTAGTACCTCATATCCCCGGTCAACATCTTAAACACTTTTCATCCCGGAAAATTAAAGAGTTCCCGGGGGATCGTTAAAAATATAGTAACTTATACAGCTTAGTACACAAAAACTACTACATAATTGGATTTTAATGAAACTTCACAATAGCTTAAACTACATTATCGGCGGAAATGGAAAATTTTATATAATATTTTTTTACATTTGGGTTCATAATAAAAATAAAACAATGATTTATTTTGATTGGCCGCTATTTTTTTTATAAAAAAATAAGATGTTAATTCAAATATCCCGAAAACTATTGAGAAATTATCGAGACAAATTATTTAGTATGTATGCGTTGGAAAATCAATATTGAACCAACTGAAGCAAACCGGAAGTTTCTATCACTAATATATGCTGAGAAAAAAATTATTGAAGGTAGACAAGCGCTGAAACGAGCATTTTCGGCCGCGCGCTGATAAACAAAAGGCTGCAGACTGCAACTCGGCTGGACTATCAGCGCGGTTGTTGACCTCACACGTCATGCGAAAAATTGAATTTATATAAAATAAGTTATTTTGGCTCCGCGAAAAATTATTATTATTGTACTTAAGTACTGGACGTCGTAGTGGTCAAAGTTGCGTTAATGATGAGTTGTGTATTCTACTGTCAAGTATGAATTTGCCACCCTCTGAGTTTACATTCAAATTACCAAAGTATTGGTACATTCATTATTTATTTATTTTCCAATTTTTTTTGCTTTCTTTAGTTAGGTTAAAGTTGCGTTAACAGATATAGCAATACATGCTGACAAATAAAAAAATATTTATTTGATATCGTAACATTGCTAAACTTCAATTTTGACATTTTTTTATTATTATCTGTGAACATTAGTCATTTTGCAATTCGCATTCATGTCAACGAAATCATGGGCATTGAACACAACATTCCTACAATTTTTATGTTTTTTTGAATTTTAATAAAAAAGTGTGTGTTTGCGATGAAATGGAGGGAACGAACCCAAGAGGTGAGCTGATATTAACTTTACTGAAACCTATTTATATTTATTTATTGTTTATATATACTGTTGTTCTTGTCATTGGATAATATGAGTGGGCGCAAATCGCAATATATATTATAAACTATCTTTTGTTTGCTATTTGCGTAAGTTATATGGAAAATTATATATTAATGTGCGAATTTTACCTTCTGTACCACTAATACAGATCATTTAATACATTATTAGATTCTAGTAAGAAATCTTATTGCTTTCTTATTAAAACTAAAATAAATATGTATAAATTACTTCCGCGTTATTATAATTAATGTTTATTCTATTTTCATGCTTGTGGTATTACATATATTAAGGTAATTTATTAAAAATAGTTTTGATGAATTCTAATATTGAATCTATTTCTTGTACTCAATTAATTAAAATAAATTTTCTTATTATTGATATATGTAAAAATAAACTCATAATTATTTTATGTATCAACATGATAAAAACAACACTGATTTTACAATAATGTTAATAGTAGGTAATAAATTAAATAATGTTAAATATGAGTATATTATATTTTATAATTTTTAATTAACAAATGATGATTACATAAATTTTCATTTTATGTATTATTTATGTGTTATATGTTATATACTACTACTACTTTGGCATGCTTGAACACGGAGTTGCAGACAGTCAGTCTATAAAGTTGTGTAGTCATCTAAATAGTGTGATTTGAGCACAAAAATGTTATCAAAATTTTTATCTATCTTCTACTCTATTCCAAACATGTGCTCTAAATGATTCAATAAAAAAAAATCATATATAGAAAATTAACCTTCATATCAATAAAAGTTCCTAATATGGGTAAAATATGTCCAGCATCCCTAAAAAATAATAAATTTCCATGTTCTGTATTCCCCATATTGAAACACTACAGTGGGATACTAGAATACTACCACACTTTGTCATAAACAAATTAAACCAAAAATCTATATATCTATTACAAAAATTAGTTACAACAGCATTCTGTATATCAGTAAGACACTTGTACCACTGCACTGAACTGAATGCAAAAAAATGTAATCTTATATTCTAAGACCTTTCACTCTCAATTTTTGCAGCCTTTATATGTCAATTACAAACATTTTGCATCCAATTCAAAGGGACCGGTTTCTGTGTTAGTAAAAATCTTGTAACCTTATGAACAAAATGAATAAATTTCTGAAGGAGAAAGATCCTTAATTTTGCATGACATTATTAAAATCAGATATGTTAATTAATCAAATAATCAAAATGCTGCATTATTAAATTAACTTTTTTGTTTTATTATTTATCTGTTATTCTGTGAAATAGAATATAACAACATAAGCTTTATTTTGTTTAGTTCTAAATTAAATAGTAAATTTTAGAACTACTGATCATATTTTGATAATTATTTTACAATTGAGCTACATAATTCTAGATAGATTTAGGCTACCTGTGATCTTAGCATATCAAGACGTTTCTGTGGAATCATAACTTAGTGCAAGGATTTTGAAAGGATTGAAATTAGTTAATTATTTAATATCAATATATAAGTGAGTGTTGGATGCTTGTGTTAAAGAATATGGAGTAAGTGGAAATACACCTGTATATTAAGCTGTTATGAATTACATTGTCATGATAAAATTTGGACGATCAGCCATTCAATGTGATTTTACACCTGTACCCTCTATTGGCTACCACTATCCACAATTTTTGTAGAGAAAAAACATAAGGGTCTTATCAAAAAGAACTACTCACGAGAATTCAGCTTGATAGGATAGCTTTAATAATGATCAAGAATTTTTCAAGAATATCTGAAAAGAAGCACTATATTACTCTATCCTTTATTTCGTGAAAACATTCCTCTTCCAACAATATGAAGTGTCCGACGTCCACCTCGGAGATTATATTGTAACTGCACTTTATAATATCATCATCGTCATTTAAACATAACAATATTTTATAAGAGCAGAGAAACAAAAGACCTCTCAAAAAGTATAAAATATATTATTATTTTACGATTTCGGCCACGGCGGCAAATTTCATTGAGACCAGTCAGATAGCCTGGTCTGCGCAGGCTTCGATCAACAATAGTATTTTTGATCTAAGTGCGCAGGAGATATTACAGTGCACAAGTGTACGCGCAGACACAACGTGCACTCTATTCGTTTTATAAAGTCCGATGAGACGACACTTCGACACGACCGGTGAGAGTTAGACATAGGACCCTTTACGTGCTCACCGTGGCACGGGAGTAAAACATCGCCAACTTCCTAACTTCGGGTGGTTACTGGCACTTCCTTAACAGAAAGACTCAATAACTAAACTTGGCGCGACCCAACACTTCTGGATGTGCAGCCGTACATGGTAGCCACTACACCACCAAGGCAGTTAAAAATCTATACTTAATATTACAAAGTAAAATATCTATACTTAATATTAACTCTGAGTGCTTGCTACACACGTAGGTAGTCTCGCAGCAAGGATAAAATGTGTGTCTCCGACTACATACTACTGTTTTCTTTCATTAACTTGCCCTCTTCTTTTTAGTTCGCTTTGTACGTAGTTGAATTTTAATGTTTAGACAAGTTAATTTTTGAATTACGTCAGATAATTTAGATATTTATTAATATGTTGGAATCTTTAGCGAAGTTAGGGGGTCGTTAATCTATACATATAATAAAATTGTTACTAAGCCGAATCTGTACATTAAATATTTTTTGGAAAATCTTATTGAAATAGACATTATTATCGATACAGAGGCCAAATGTATAGTTTTTACAATTTTTGTCTGTCTGTCTGTTACCGCATCACGGAAAAACCACTAGAGGGATTTTCATAAAATTTGGTATGGTGATAGCTGGTTATCCGGTTCAACATATAGGATATTTTTTACCGCGGGAAAATATCTCATTTCTGAGAAAAAACACAAAAACTGCATTGTAAGAGTATATTAATATGTAAAACCTGAGAGTTTGGTTTTTGGTCATCTGAACGCGGGCAATGCTAGTATTCTATAAAAACATTATTGATAGTTGAAATTATTTGCTTTGCTTAAATAATAATAAAGCTATATATAGTGCTAAAGTAATAATCAAAAACTGTCGCCCTGATGTCGCAGTAACATAAAAACATTCTCATCGCCTCTGACTCACGCTCTACATATTTTCCCTATAGCATCAGATATGAAATATTTATTTTCCTAGCATTGCAAATAATATGACCGACTTTCATTTTTAAATACATAAGCATTGTTTTTCACCACTTTTATACTAAGTACTAGCGATTCACCCTCGCTCCGCTCGGGTTCGTCCCTAGTTACGTTTTAACGACTAGCTCAGAGATGAGATTTTTTCCCGCAGTAAAAAGTATCCTATATGTTGACCCGGATAACCAACTATCATTATATCAAATTTCGTCAAAATCTGTCCAGTGGTTTTCTCGTGATGCGGTAACAGACAGACAGACAAAAATTCTAAAAGCTATAGATTCGGACTCTGTATCGATAATAATGACTATTTCAATAAGTTTCCAAAAAATTCGAACAGATTCGAATCAGTTAGAATTTTATTATATGTATGTATGTATGTATGCATTATAAAGATGCAAAAATGAGTTTGTTCTTTAGATTGCCTTTGCACATGGGGGTCCCGACTGAATCCTATATTACAAAGCTTATGTCTGTTTGCGTACTTATTTGATAGATTTATATCTGACAAAAAAATTTGCACGGCAATGTCATGCAACTCTGTACAATAAATAAACGCGTAAAATTATTCTTTTCCACAATTCTACTTTCCATTTATCTATAATTTTTTCAGAACATTGCCGTGACAAAATTATTAAACTTATTTTGTTTTATTTATTAACTAGCATTGCCCGCGACTCCGCCCGCGTTCAGATTACCAAAAATAAATTCTTAGGTTTTACATATTAGTATACTCTTACAATGCAGTTTTTGTATTTTTTCTCAGAAACGAGATATTTTCCCGCGGTAAAAAGTATCCTATATTTTGACCCGGATAACCAGCTATCATCATACCAAATTTCATCAAAATCTGTCCAGTGGTTTTCTCGTGATGCGGTAACAGACAGACAGACACAAAAATTCTAAAAACTATAGATTCGGACTCTGTATCGATAATAAGGTTTATTTCAATAAGATTTTCCAAAAAATATTTAATGTACAGATTCTGCTTAGTTACAATTTTATTATATTTATAATTAATAATATAAATACTTTTGTCTGATTATTAATATAATTTTGCAGAAATTCTCAGTTGTGCCTGCTGTTTGAACGATATTGGGGATGAAGAATATATTTCGGCACTCGGCCAGGAATGGCACAAAGACTGCTTTAGGTAAGTCAATAACCGTTTTATGTATCTACCCCCGTTTTTTCTTCGTCTGAAACTTGCTTATTTTTGTCAGAGCCAAGTGCTCTATCTCTCTACAATCAATAAGAATGCGTCTGAATGATGTTCGTCCTAGTTTCGTTTGACGATAATAAAGCCTTCAGTTCGTAAAATGATTATATATTTTTTTACTACTATATTTATAATATGTATGTATTTAAAGTTATATATGTGTAGTGTATCAACACTTACTATCTGGTATCCATAACACAAGCCTCGTAACTTACCATGGAACTAGATGGTGCTGTGTGTTAATGTCCCAACATATTTGTATCAGTTTTTTTTTACTGCGACCCCATTACTTTATGTCGAAGACTCATCAGACTAAGAGCCGTACTGTGATGATACCTTCTTCTATACATGGGCTATAACATAGATTTTTTTTAAATGTGACTAGTCGTGTCAGAGATTAGCGCCTTTATACACAGTCTTTTTGTTTTATATATTACTAGCGACTCACCCTTGCTCCGCTCGGGTTCGTCCCTGGGGTGGGGTCTGGGAGGACCACCCTTATCCTTATCACTTAGGGGTATGGAAAATAGATAGTAGCCGATTCTCAGACCTACTGAATACGCATATAAAATTTGGTAAAAATCGGTAAAGCCGTTTCGGAGGAGTACGGTAACTAACATTGTGACATGGAAATTTTATATATAAGACTAGCGACTCAAACTCGGTTCATTCGGGTACGTTCCTAGGTGCGTTTTACTTTACAGTTAGTATGGATGTCCCACGGGACCAGTTCATTTTTCCGTTTATTTTATAACTTATCTCTGTGCCTTTCATCTAGATCCGTTCAGTCGTTCTGGCGTGATTGAGTAACAAACATCCATCCCATCAGTATCTGTATAATTTATAATATAAATATTATATATGTGAAAGTTTGTAAGTATGTATGGATATTTGTTACTCTTTCACGCCAGAACGGCTGAACTGATCTGGATGAAATTTGGCACAGAGATAAATTATAGTCTGGAATAACACATAGGCTACTGGAAAAATGTACGGTTACTTGTCCCGGAAAAATGAACGGTTCCTGTGGGATAAGTTAGTTTTCGTTTTCCTAGAGGCGAACCCAAGCGTAGCGAGGGTGAGCCGCTAGTTTATAATAATATAATATTTACTATGGGATATGCGATTATTATTATTATATATGGGATATATAATACATGGGATAACCTACTTCTAAATGAGTAATAGGATAACTAATTCTAAAGCACTAGCGATGTGTATGGTAGCTCTGTCAGATTTTGCGGGTTCGATACCTGTAACCGCCTGAAGCTGTACTATATCGAAATGTCTATCGAGATTAACATTCATATGTCAATGAGTCTTGAAAAACACGGTGATGAGTAATAATATTATGTAATTATGTAAATTGGACTCGTTTTCCGTACTTAGACTCGCATTTGGTCCATTGTACGGTGCGAGTCCTGGCTAGTTCAGCCAGCTTAACCCAGTTCAAAAGTGCAGAAATTTCCGGGGAACATAATAATATTATGATACTTTTTCTTATATTTATCAAGTAAAAACCATAACGTAAAGCTATATTTAACCTTATATGTAAAAAATACAAGTAGGTATGTAAAGTAGGAAAAATACTCAAGCTTCTATGTATGGATATATTATTTTTTATGCAAATTGTATCTTATATAACTCTACGAGATACAATTGGCTTTACATTTTTCTAACTTACTACTCAAAGTAAATTTTATGATTGCTGTGATTTGATAAATGTTTGTGTGTCATGCAATATTATAACCCGTTCGGTTAAATTATAGTGAAATATAAAATTGTATTGATACTCTAGTAAGAAATATTTCAAATTGATTTTGAAAACATTTTTTACGCAGTATTCCTGTATGTTTTTTAGGGTTCCGTAGCTAAAAGGATAAAACGAAGCTTATAACTTCGTCATGTCCCTCTGTCCTTATGTCACAGCCATTTTATTTTATTCGAAGACTAGCTTTGCCCGCGGCTCCGCCCGAGTTCAGATGACCAAAAACCAAATTCTTAGGTTTTACATATTAGTATGCTCTTACATTGCAGTTTTTTGTATTTTTTCTCAGAAATAAGATATTTTACCGCGGTAAAAAGTATCCTATATGTTGACTTGTATAACCAGCTATCACCATACCAAATTTCATGAAAATCCCTCCAGTGGTTTTTCCGTGATACGGTAACAGACAGACAGACAGACACATAGACAGACAGACAAAAATTCTAAAAACTATAGATTAGGCTTCTGTATCGATAATAATGTCTATTTCAATAAGATTTTCCAAAAAATATTTAATGTACAGATTCGGCTTAGTTAGAATGTTATTATATGTATAATAATTTTTTTTTTATAACATCATAGCTATAATGTTGTGCTAGGAGGTAGGTGCCTCATGTCAATCGCTAGGCAATGCTGTAATTAAATTATAGAAAACTAGTAATTTAACCTTGCTTCGCTCGGGTGCGTCCCTAGTTGCGTTTTATATATATTATTTATATGTGTGTGTACTTCGAATGCTTCACAGTAGTAGTACACATAGTTTTATTTGAAATTACCGTTGCAGAGTTATAAACTATCGCATTTATAATAATGGTCCGATTGAAAAAATTGCATATTATTAATTCAATATAAAAGTACCTGTTCAATATTAAATAGCGCTCACTTGCTCGGTACAGGTGCTCAGAATGTGACGCTCAGCTGACGACGTGGTACTTCGAGAAGGGTGGCATGCTGTTCTGTCAGGCGGACTACTGGACTCGGTATGGCGATAACTGCCAGCAATGTGGCCAGGTGAATATTAACTGAAAATTTCTAGAATTTTCTAATGACTCTCCCTCACTTTGCATATGTTATCTTTTTTTTATATGTTAGGAAATGCGTTTACGGATACCACCTGTAGACATACAGGTGGTTATGTGGTACTCACCGGCCGGAAAAGCCAGTATTATCCACTAAAACCCAACAGACCCTCCCCAGTTTTAAAATAAGTTTTAATGAACAAAATTATATTATTTTGTATTTTAGATTTTTCCCTCTTAAAAGAGATATGATGTTATTAGCATCATATTTTTACTAGCGATTCACCCTCGCTTCGCTTAGGTTCGCCTCTAATAAACAAAAATAATATCCCACGGGAACCGTACATTTTTCCGGGATAAAAGTAGCCTACGTGCTATTCCAGAATATAATATATCTCTGTGCCAAATTTCATCCAGATTCGCTTAGCTGTTCAGGCACGATTCAGTAACAAACATCCATCCAAACATCTAAACATTCACATTTATAATATTAGTATAGATTTTTTTTCATTATAATAGAATTCGTTACCTATTTTTATTTATTATCATTTTTTTACTTATCGCAGTATTGATAATTCTATTAATACTTGTATTCTGTATTTAACATTACATATTGTTTAAATAGTAAAAAAGGCAGTGGTAGCCCAGTGGTAACGCGCTTGCTTGGGAAATCTAGTGAAGCGGGTTCAAATCCTGGGTCTCGTACATCTGATATTTTCATGTGCGAATCATTTCCAACATGATTACCACTTGTCTTACGAATTACGGTGAAGGAAAATATCGTGAGGAAACTTGCATGTCTGAGAGAACCTAGCAAGTATTCGAAAGACATGTGAAGTCCGCCAATCCGCACTTGGCCAGCGTGGTGGACTATGGCCTGATCCCCCCTCATACTGAAGGGAGACACGTGCCCAGCAGTGGGATGTTAAAAAGGGCTGAATTCATTGTTTAAATCATTATCGTTTGGCTTCATATTTAGTTCTGTAGCACTCGGTCTATATTATTCCATAGTTTGAGGTATACGAGTAATCTTCAGGTAATAACGGGCCCGGTGATGGCGGCCGGGGAACACCACTTCCACCCGGAGTGCTTCGCTTGCGTGTCGTGTAGGGCTCACTTGGAGGACACGGAGCCCTACGCACTGCTAGATCGATCGGAATTATACTGGTGAGATGTAAGATATGCATTACATATAAGTTATTTGTGAGGGGATTCAAAAGAGAGGAATTTATTTGTTTTTGGTACTTAACTGAATGAATATAATATCTCTATTTATTTAACAGTTTATATTTTTTATGTAATTTCCTTCCTTTCCTTTAATTGCCTCGGTGGTGTAGTGGTTAGCGTGTACGGTTGCACACCCGGAGGTCCTGGGTTCGAGTCCCGGGTCGGGCCAAGTTTAGTCATTCAGTCTTTCTGTATAGTAAGCGTCAGTAACAACCCGGAGTTGAGAAGTTGGCGGTGTTTCACCCCCGTGCCGAGGCAGAGCACGAGTTGCGTTGGTCTTGCGCCGACACTCACCGGTCGTGCCTCGCGTCGTCCCACCGGAGTGTGAGAGTGACAGGAACAGAGAGTGCCCTTGTGTCTGCGCTCTCCCTCACACGCGCTGCACTGTAATATCTCCTGGGCAGATGGCTAGTCTCAATGAGATATGAGATTAGCCGCCGTGGCCGAAATCGGTCGTGCATTATGTTTATACTACTACTAGCACAACTCGCTACTTCGCTCGCGCTAAAACTACAATAAAAATTAAAGAGGGAGGTTTTATACAAATTTTCAGCCCTATTTTACTCTTTTGGGATGAATTTCAAATATTGCTAAAACGCGTATTTATTTAAATGTATTAAAGAGCATTAATACAAAGTTTCAAGTAATTCTGATCCATTGATGATTTTTTTGGGTTGTATTATAATATGTATTCCCGTAGGAATGAGATAATCTCCCGAAGTAAAAAGTAGCCTATGTCACTTTCCAGCTCTTCAACTATCTCCACACAAAAAATCACGCCAATCCGTTACTCTGTTTCGACGTGAAAGAAGGGCAAACAAACAAACACACTATCACATTTATAATATTAGTGTTGATGTAATTTCCTTCCTTTCACAGCAATATTAATTAACATTGTTAATTAAACCATTGCAACGTGTTAACGTCGCACAGTTAGCCCATTTTCTATAGTGTAGACAGTTTTTCGAATTTCATTGTGTTCGAGTGTCAAAGTGATTCTAATTATATACTAATATTATTGTGGTGGTGTGTATTACGATTATATTATAGTGAGATTATATAAATAATATTATTATTCATATAAAAATACTTGCGTCTCACCCTCGCTCCGCTCGGGGTCGTCCTTGCTAACGTTTTAGCATTTAGTATAGATTTCTCAGAGATGAGATATTTTCCCGCTATAAAAAGTATGCTATATATTGACCCGGATAACCAGCTGTCATCATACCAAATTTCATCAAAATCTGTCCAGTGGTTTTTTCGTGATGCGATCATAAACAGACAGACGAAAATACTAAAAACTATAGAATCGGCCTCTGTATCGATAATATATAATGACTATTTCAATAAGATTTTCCAAAAAATATTTAATGTACAGATTCGACTCGATTAAAATTTTTAATATAATATAATAATTATATACGTAGGAATCATCACCTACATATTATGTTGCGTACGTGATTAAAATATCTTTCTCCGTTCATAAGTATTAAACTTAAATTTCCTTATTATGACGTCGCGAAAATTACGTACCTTACAATGCATTGACACATTTTGTATGATGAGTGATGACATCGTTGTTGCTAATTATATTTTAATTTGTATGCATATATTTTTTTTCTGTTTCGTTTTACTGCACGAATATTATAAAGAGCTAGTGTGTAAGTTTATATGTGAGGGGTGATCTCTAGAACTACAGATCGGATTCTAAAAAGTACAAGGAAGTTGCATTACAGAGTGGCGAGTATTGTAGACAATTTTTTATTCCGCTACATAAGTGTTTACTATCAAAAATCGTAATAATTATAATGAAAGTCGGAAAGAAACGGGCCGTTAACTTGCTTGTTGTTTTATCGATGTGCGCAGTCTACGATTTTAAATGTATGGGAGCAAGATTCGAGCTAAGCGAGAGTAATTCTCTAGTAATCTTTAATAAAATATAACTATATGACATACTAGCGACTCACCCTCGTTCCGCTCGGGTTCGTCCCCAGGTTGATTCCCCATACAAACTTTCATCCCTATTTTCACCCCCCTAAGGGTTTATTTCCGGAATGAAATATATCCTTTGATCAAAGGTCCTTACCAAATTTCATTTAGATCGATCCAGTAGTTTTTGAGTTTATTCGTTACAAACATACAAAAATACAAATCATTCCTCTTTATAATAGTAGTATAGATGTATGTAGATGATATATCTATAGTTATATTTTATTTGGATATCTATGTAAGATGGGTTTTCAATCGTATTGAGTTTTAGGTTAATTATTTATTTGTTAATTAACATTAACACGACACGCAATATTTGAACACAAGCAGTGCATTTATATTTTTAAAATCTGTTTGCTTAAAATTAAAAGAGCAGTTAATAAAGATTCAAATAAAATATATATGTTACGTTATATTTAAATTGAGAAAAGCATTAAGTTGTAAAACATATCGGTGAAAAATATATTCTACAGATTTTTTACTTTTGATTGATTACTTCACACTTAATATTGTATATGTGAAAGTGTGTTTGTCTGTTTATTTTTTTATTTGTCGTTCTTTCACGTCGAAATAGAGTGACGGATTGGCGTGATTTTTTGTGTGAAGATAGTTGGGATCGCTGGAGAGTGACATAGGCTACTTTTTACCGCGTGAGATTATCTCATTCCCACGGAAAAACATTATAATACAACCCAAAAACATATTTATGATCAGAATTATTTGAAACTTGATATTAATGCTCTTCAATATATACAAATAAATAAAATTTCATCATATATCCCAAATCAAAATTCATCCCATAAGTGGGTAAAATAGGGGATGAAAGTTTTTATGAAAAACTATCTTTTTAAAGGTTTTATAAATGCGAAAGTGTGCGTGCGTGCGTGCACGACATAATTACGTGTCAAATCAATGCCGATGAATAATTTAATACATATACGTAATAGTATGTAAGAGCAGAAGTATATAAAAGTCTATAAGAGTTGAAGTACCTACACAGGTGTAAGAAGGATAGATAACTGAACGAACACGAGTGAAGCGTGGGTAATTCACTAGTGTATTTAATATTTATACTTTATAATATAACGAAAAAATATGAGTACCGCTGAGTTTCTTTCGCCAGTTCTTCTCAGGTCTGAGGCTTCTTCTTTCCGAACTAGTAGTAGACTCATGACTTTCAGGAAAAAATTGTAATAATTTAATGCTGAAAAAAATATTTAATTTTTTTGAATTTTGAATACATATTATAATACACGCATGTATGCGTTATTTTCGTTACGTCACTATATAAGGAAGTTTTATTCGAATGCGCTGAACGAAGGATGTTTCTAGTCACTACATAGTATAAAACAAAGTCGCTTCCCGCTGTCTGTCTGTCCCTATGTATGATTATATCTTTAAAACTACGCAACGGATTTCGATGCGGTTTCTTTTAATAGATAGAATGATTCAAGAGGAAGGTTTATATGTATAATGCATGCATATTATAGTACAGAAAAGCCGAGAAATTCAAAGATTTGTATTTCATACTAACAATTAAAACGTAACTAGGGACGAGTCGTTAGTAAATTAATATAACCGAAACCGTGTCGTTTTTACGTGGGCTTCTAGTGGTGCGTGCTACCCGGATTGGCTGCGTAGAGGCAGGCGCGACGCGCACTGCATACGCGTGGCGCGTGCGCCCGCCCGCGCCCTCCGCCTCACGAGCACGGCTTGCGGCGAATTCATTGTTGCACAGTGAGTTTTGTTATTTTATTATTTGTTTTTATTATATATAAAGTTATTTAAAGTGTGTGTCTGATTGATAGGGGATGAGGTTGTGGGTTCGATTATTCGGTATAAACATTTTACATATAAATATACCTACATTATTTTAACTGATGATGATGAATTTATAATACTTTTTAGATTTACGCAAGTATTTGACATTTTAAATAAAACTGTTTTCGGAATTTTAGCGGATTTATTTTTATTTTTGGTACCCGACGTTTCTAATGCTTTACAGCGCACATGGTCACGGGATAGACTGAGGTTTTAGATGTCTCAGAGGTCATTATATAGTTATTACAGACACACGCACCCACCCACAAAATAACAAAATGAATTCAAAAATGGCACCAAATTACCTTACAATATTTATAATTTTTTATTTTTTTAATTTTAATACCAACATCGGGAACCAAATATCAAAAGAAATCCGTTTAAAAACCAAAAAGATACTTAGTTTTATTTAAAATGATGAATTTATCTTCTATAGTACACATTTTGTGTACCGCCTGTATGCTCATATTTACTATCAATCAAGGTGTACCTTGTCTTCTGAAATACTCGTTCGTACTTAAAGTGAATTGTATTCTTTTTATGAGAAATAAATTCTTAAACCGTATATTTGTATCGTAGTGACACATCTAACATTTACTAACATCATTAATTCATAATGATTACCATTCTCAATCTTCTTAATTTCTATTTTACAATATAATTATTAATATAATTTATTCATAATTAACATTTTAAAGAAATAAACTTATGTATGCTATCTATTAACATTGCATTTTATAGCTTTAACCTTTCCAAGAATCAACAAAGGTTTAGAAAGAAATCCAGTTCAACTAAATAAATAACGGGAATCGAACTGACTATATGTACATATAATAATCTCTATACTAGTACCACAATCTAAAAATCTATACATCGCGTTTCGTCCTAACATAAATGGAGCCAAGACCTAGATATACGAGTATATGTTTAGACAATAGGCAACTGTATGGATTAGTAGACTATGCTAATATACAGGGTCATTTTTAATTAACTGAAAACCTTTTGGGAATATACTGTTTACATCATAACAACAACATGTGTAGGAAAAAAATAATAATATTTCTTAAAAAGTATTTTTATTGCTCCTTCTAAACGATAATAGTCCAGCAATTAGCAAAAGAAAGCGCGTGACCGGTGGAGGAGGAGGGGTGGAGGGGTGTAGGAAGTGGCCCTTACTCATTTAAACTGGGCCAGATGCTAGAACTTTACCGTATAAAAATATTTTTATTTTTGTATGAAAATAAAAATTGAAGAAATATTTTTTTTTCTTGTTACAGATGTTGTTGTTATGATGTAAATAGTATATTCCCAAAAAGTTTTCAGTAAATATAAATGATCCTGTATATATATTGTTTGAACGGGTAACACAAACTGTAAATAAGCAAATTAATAAAATGATGGCAGCGAGCGGTGTTTGGGCAAAATGCGTGTAGCGATGCGCGCGCTCCTGCGTGCCGCCCTGCGCGCGTGTCTGCGTCTCACATGCCATAGGTGCGGTACAAAACCCCAAAACCACTCAAACTTTCAACCCTTGCTTTTACTTTAGCACCCTTAGTGAATGCTCAAACTTATAGTACAAATCCCCCAAAAACCTTGTAACTGCTAAAATGTTTTATTAGCTCCTTAGTTCTCACCAACAAGCTACAGCATTTGATACCGATATTGCCTAAACTTGTAGTTTTTCTCAACCCCTCAACCCTTGCTATATTTTCTTTAGCACCCCCATTAACTGCTTTCAGGCTTTTTATTATCTCCACATTATAGCGGTAGATACTGTTATTGTCCAATCTATTGTTTATTTTTAATTTAGCACCCTTATAATACACCTTATACACAAAGTTAAAACCCAAAAAGCTATTTAAAGTTATCGAACACCCACATCACTCTTCCTCTAGTTCTTACTTTACGTTTATTTCACCTTGAAAAAATCATGCCCGATTTCACCAACAACTCATAAGCCATATAACCACCTACGTATGGGATCCCTAGCTTAAAAGTCCCCTAAACTAGCCCCCAAATTAAATTTCGTTTTACGATCGTCTTTAAGCCCATATTTCGAGCACCTAAATTTAGGGGGCCTTTTAATATTCAGGTGACCCCTAACTGTCGGTGAAACAGAAACTGTCCCCTAACAGCCCCCTAACCATGCTTAGGGGATCCCTTAAACTTAGGTGACGTTGGTGAAATCGGGTATCAGTCCTTCATATGTATGGTAAGCAGCAAACTATACATAGAGATGTAAAGTACTTTTTTTTCTGTTAATATATGTAGATCCAAAATATCTGACCTATAAATAAATTAAAAAAATGACTCGATGTTTTTTCTTTCTACTTTGCTTTAGTAGTTCCTCCTTATTTTGGAGTCGGTTAAGTATAACGATAGAAAGAGACTCATTCTGTCTGTCTGTACCAAGTGTTACGTGATATCTTCGCTAATAATGAATTTTTCATGATTCTTTCCTCAATGAATAGGGTAGTCCCATGTAGTAAAGTTCAAAGAAGTATTACCTCATTTTAAATAATTTTCAAGTCAGTATTATATATTTATGTTAAAAACTTGTGTATCCTGCATTTTTGTCTGATTTATTTTTATTAACCTTATTATATACTCTTTATTGCACATAAAAACAAAAATACAAATATTAAAAGAAAATTGAAGGCAAAGGTGGATTTATCTCTTAAAGAGATCTCTTCCAGTCAATCTAGGAGGTAAGAAAGATTGTCATTTAGCGGAGCACAAAAGTGCAAGGTAATATGGAAATGAAGAACAAAAAAAAACACAGTATATATAAAAATAACATACTACATGTAATCTTAGTATAATAAATAACACAAACATATAAATATATAAAATACATAATATTTAGTGAAAAATATTCAGTTTAGATTCTCTTGAGCTTAATTTGTCCTTACTTTGTTGGATTTAGAAGGCATTGTATTTTGTATCATTTAGTTGATTTTGTTGTTTTATTCACGTAATTGAATGCTCAGTATTTGTTATTGGTTGTGGTATTTCCATATCGAAGCTTACGGAGAAGTTAAGCTTAGGAGTGTTAACTGTTTTTTACTTCGTTTTGTTACTTGTGAAGGTTAAAATTGCAAGGAATTTCCTTAACACCGGTCGGCTTAGTGTAACGTGTAATGGCTTTAAATTGTTTTTTTTTGTAGCTATATGCCTTCATTTTTAAGTTATTTTATTTTAATATATACATATGTATTGGTTATTTGTTTTTTTGAAGCATGTGTGTTTGTGGTAATAAGTTTAATTAAGGCCTACGCACGTTGTTTGCTTTTGATATCACGTAAAATTGTATTACTACTATAAATGCGATCGTTGGTATGTATATGTGTGTATATGTGCGTGTTTGTTTGTTACTCCTTTATGCTGAAATGGCTGAACGGATTTACAAACTTTCATCTCCATTTCCAACCTCTTAAAGAATGATTTCCGGAATAAAAAACTTCCTATGCCCTTCTCAGGGTCACAAACTATCTTCTTACCAAATTTCATCTTAATCAATCAGTATTTTTTGAGTTTATTCGTCACTAACATACAAAAATACAAATCTTTCCTCTTTATATATAGTGATGTAGATGAAAAGACATTTGACATTTTAAATAACACTGTATTTTCGAATTTATTCGCCGATTAATTTTGATTTTTCGTTCCTGACAGAGTCATAGGAGCGTGATCTCGTACATTTGTGTAAAATTATGTGATTTTAAAAACATTTCATCCATAGGATCGATTCAAGCTGTGGCATGCTGGCTCTGCACATAGGGGACAAAGTCCTCGAAGTGAATGGCACTCCGGTGCGCAACAGACCCTTGTCAGAAATAGAAAGGATTCTGGCGAGACCTGAAATTATACAGGTGAGTTATGGGAAATATATTTATTTATTCTAATTAAAGACCGGTTTAAGTTTATTGGTTTTTGTTGTTATATATAAACTCTAAATGTATTTTTTTATATAACAATATCGTAGAAAACTGGCTTCATAGTTTTCTACACACAGAAGTCCACACCAAACATATAAACAATACAGACATTAATACCAAGCACGCAACAAACATCACTAGTGCAGTCACAACAATCATCCATAACACAACATTCATCTACCTCACAAACACCAAATACACAAAATCATCAATCAACCACACAAAACACAACTAGCACACGAAGAAGAGGAGAAGGAGATAGAGATGGAAAAAAAATAAAAAAGATATTTTTTTCCTGCGCGATGTAGAACGGGATACTTATTAAGCCGACGCAAGGTCGAGTATCGGTAAAGCGAAATCTGTGTATAAATATACATATACATACAAAAAGCTTATACGTTTTTAATGTACTGCCAAACGACGTAACGGTACAAAGATATAATAATAATTATTATTATATACTTGAGTATAATCTAAAATAATCCATTTCAGCTAACTATAGAACATAATCCTGACACAATAAATGCAAAACGAGGTACTTCAGACGCTCAAAAACTAGAAATAGACACAGGCACAGCACACGAAGTAAAATCACCTGTCGAAAGAAAACTGGTCAAAGAATACATTCCAAACAAACATTCCAATGATAAAGAAGAAATGAGAGTGAGACGAGAAAGACTTTTCAAGAGGAAAGGAGAAGATGGTGGGAAAGTTCGTGTGATAAAGAAAAGACAAACTCCTTCTTCTCCACTTTTGGGTGATAAGGAGAGGAGTAGCAGTATGTCGAAATTGTTGGACGTGTAAGTTTTTTTTTTAATATTTTTTTAAAGATTGTTGTATGGACCTGATACGGTAGCAAAATGCTCATTAAATGAATTCAAATAAAGGATTGCGTGGAAAATGGTAAAGAGATTGGGAGTTCGATCTCGATGTCTTCATGTACCGCTATCATTATAGATATTATTTACGCCATTTTTATGTAAACCTGCCTCATTGTTCTAGTAGTATGGTTACAGATCTGTAAGCCATGGGTTATTAGTATATTATGTTACCCACTAGAGAATTAGAGAGTATGCAAATATAGATATAAATGTTATTCTTTTAATAATTTCAGTGTAGAAGGTGAAGAAATAGAAACCGACGGTGTACTGGGAGACTTGAGTAGAGCTCGCTCGTTTAGAGCTGAGCCATGTTCCGGACAGAAAGTGTTCCGCGCTTCAGATTTGATACAGGTAATGATAATTGGACTATTATTGAAAGGAAGTTCCTTATCGTACTGTTATATCCCATATCCACTAATATACATATAATAATGGCAACACTAAATATAGATTACTAATTAATATTTTTAAAATTGTAATAATTATAATAGTAACAACAAAAATTAAATAAATAATATTCCATATTCAATTATAAAACTAATTAAAATTATAAAAATGTTTAAAGTTAAAAAATATTGGAAGGTAATTGGTGCAATTTTCATTTTGTTATTTGTGGGTAGGCTGTCTGTAACAACTATACCTTCGAGACATCTAACACCTCAGTCTGTCCCGTAACCATGGATGCTGTAAAGCATTCGAAACGTCGGGAACCAAAAATCCAAATAAATCCGCGAAAAAATCTGAAAAGATAGTTTTATTTAAAATGTCAAATATTCGCGTAAATCTAAGAAAGGATCCCATATCCCTTTTTTACAACGCGGTTAAAACCTAGTAAGCATTTATTTAATCCACATTATTTTTTCATATTAACCTAGTCAGCAATTGATTGTCTATATATATATATATATATATATATATATATATATATATATATATATATATATATATATAAATTCATTTCAATTTTATATAATTAACTAGACTCAGAGCCCCGGGTAGATCGGACATCGATTCCGAGATGCGTTAAAAACTAAAGTTCGGAAGTCAAAATACTAGACAAAATGTGTGTGAAATATCTTAATAAATAAATAGGTTTATATTGTAGTTTCTTTTTAAAACACAAAATCGGTTCAGTGTTTTCTCCTGATGCGGTCACAGACAGGCAGACAAAAATTCTAAAAAACTATAAATTCGGTCTCTGTATCGATAATAATGACTATTTCAGTAAGATTTTCCAAAAACTATTTAATGAACAGCTCAGTTAGAATTTTATTATATGTATATATTAATCTGTGCCAATCGATGGCGATACCACTTTTTGTGACGGTTTTCCAAAGTGAGTATATTACCACCACAACAACTGCTTTAGCTGTAATGCACAGTGTATACTTGAGTAATATCAAAATGTTTTATTTTATTATTTATTATGTATATAATTTTGTCTTACGGTGAAGGAAAACATCTGAGGAAACCTGTATGTCTGAGAGAACTTAGCAAGTTTCCGAAAGACATGTGAAGTCCGCCAACCCGCACTTGGTCAGCGTGGTGGACTATGGCCTGATCCACCTCGTATTTTAGGGGGCCCATGCCCAGCAGTGGGACGTTAAAAAAGGGCTTAATACATACATATGTACATGTATATAATTTATTTATTGAGTAGTATCAAAATGTATAACAGGGTGAGCTCCTAGGCACGGGATTCTTCGGGCAGGTGTACAAAGTGACGCAGCGCGCCACCGGCGAGGTGATGGTGCTGAAGCAGCTGTACCGCGTGGACGAGGCCGCGCAGAACAACTTCTTGAAAGAGGTTACATTGCCATTTTGTTTTTTTTTATATTTTTTTTAATGGAGGATTTGGGTTGCTTTTTTTTGGTGGGTGATTGTAGTGGTGATAGAGATATTTATATTACAATATTTGAGGTGTTTACAAAGATATAATTTTCGCTTAAAATTGTTTTTTTTTTGGGTTATTTTTTCATATTTTGTTTTCCTAAAATCTCGTTTAGATTACTAAACACACTTTTATAAATAATAAAGTATGTCGCTTTATTTTTTATTTTATATTTGTTTTTCTTCATTTTATAAATAGTATACTATATTCTCATGTGACGCGTTTATCAAAAAAATAGCATTTTATTTTTATTATATAGAATTTCATTCATTTTATCCACATTTGTTTAGAAATTCAGTGAATGTGTGTTAATTTCTTTTGATATGGTGTGAAGGCGTTTAGAGTGTGCGCTATCTTATTATTTTTATAAGCCAATCGGAATAGAGTGTGAAGTCAAGTTTGCACAGCGTCTTAAATAGATTAAGTGCCATAGCGACAAGTTAATATATATTTTTGCATAATATATATTATCAATGTATATGCTATAACAATGGTTGTCGTCGGCTGCAGGTGGCGGTACTGCGGTCGCTGCGGCACCGCAACGTGCTGCGGTTCGCGGGCGTGCTGTACCGCGACCGGCGCCTGCACCTGCTCACGGAGTACGTGGCGGGCGGCACGCTGCACGCGCTGCTGCAGGACGCGGCGCGCGCGCTGCGCTGGCGGGAGCGCGCGCGCCTGGCGCGGGACGTGGCGGCCGGCGTGGGCTACCTGCACCGCCGCAACGTCATACACCGCGACCTCAACTCCCACAACTGCCTCGTGCGCCCCGGGGAGGTGACCCGCCGACCGAAAAGAGCTTTTATTTTTTTTACTAACATCGCCCGCGACTCCGCCCGCGTTCAGATGACCAAAAACCAAATTCTTAGGTTTTACATATTAGTATACTCTTACAATGCAGTTTTTGTATTTTTTTTCTCAGAAATGAGATATTTTCCCGCGGTAAAAAGTACCCTATATGTTGACCTGGATAAACAGCTATCATTATACCAAATTTCATCAAAATCTGCCCAGTGGTTTTCTCATGATGCGGTAATAGATAGACAGACAGACAAAAATTCTAAAACTATAAATTCGGACTCTGTATCTATAATAATGTCTATTCCAATTAGATTTTCCAAAAAATATTTAATGTACAGATTCGACTTAGTTACAATTTTATTATATATGTATAGATTAACTTACGTAGTCCCGATGTTTAAATAAACTGTCTTGACATACGAACAGACATTATTCTAAAAGTGAATGCTAAAAAATCTTCTTTAGTATAGTTTCTAATCTGTATAAATATTATAAATGTGAAAGTTTGTTTGTTACTCTTTCACGCCAGAATGGCTGAACGAATCTCGATGAAATTTGACAAAGATATAGATTATAGTCTGGAATAAGACATAGGTTACTTTTTACACCGAAAAAATATACGGTTATCGAGGAATTGTGATTGTTTTTTTTAGAGGCGAACCCGAGCGAAGCGAAGGTGAGCCGCTAAGTATTATTATATATTAAGTAGCTTCCGGACTAAGACTTACAATTATTTTATATGGGATTCGATTTTCAAAACTGGACACTGACCTCGCTCGCACGGCGCGCAGGAGCTGACGGTGGTGGTGGCGGACTTCGGGCTGGCGCGCATCGTGCAGCGCACCGCCAGCAGCTCGCTGCCCAACTCCTCGCTGCGCCGCAAGCGGTACACGGTACCTAGCACTGACCATATACACTGACGTGTAGTCGCCGAAATTATTTAACAATTTTTATTATATACTAGCAACTCACCCTGGTTCGTCCCTAGATACGTTTGACGCTCAAAATGAGATGAAATAAATGAATCCCCATACAAACTTCCACTCCCATTTTCATCCTCTTAAAGGATGATTTCCGGGATTAAAACTACCCTATGTAGTTCCCAGGATCTCAAACTATCATTTTACCAAATTTCATCTAAATCCGTTCAGTAGTTTTGGAACTTATTCGGTACAAACAAACAAACAAAAAATGTTTCTTCTTTTTAATATTAGTATAGAAAACATTTCCAAAGTGCTTTATTGTCACTTACCAAAAATCTTTTTAGAATCATAGAAGCTAGTCGCTTATTATGTATGTAAATAAAAGTAAAATTTAAGTTTACTTATTTCTTAGAAATATAGAGCTAAATTAAAAAAAAACTTAATCATATACTTTGCTTATTAAAACACTCTTTTCCATACAGGTGGTTGGGAACCCATACTGGATGGCCCCGGAGATGATGAATGGCAAAGTGTATGATGAGAAGGTGGATGTGTTCTCCTTCGGCATCATACTTTGTGAGGTGAGATCTACTAATTATTTGCTATACTTAGCTACACTATTTTTTTTTTATTTCATACAGACCTAATTTCACAAAATGGAATTTAAAGAATGTTTGTGACTTTTAGTAACGGTTGCATATATTTAATACTAACATAGAAAAGAGGAATGGGAAGTGTAATATACAAATATATGAATATATCTGTTTTTAACGTTAAGAAGTGCATTTACACATACCATCTCCATACAAACAGGTGGTTATGTGGGACTCAAGAAGGCTAATTCCCGATTTCATCAACAACCCATAAGCTACCACCTACGTATGGGATCCCTAGCTTAAAATTCCCCTAAACTAGCCCCTAAATTAACACATTCAACTTTCCCATTTTCCCCCCCTAAAAACCGTAATTGATATATTACGAAGTTACTCAAGTGATACGATTACCAACGAACAGTATTTTATTTTTATATATAGATAATAGGTCGCGTGTCGGCGGACCCCGACTACCTGCCGCGGCGCTCGGACTTCGGCCTCAACGAGCGCCTGTTCCTGGAGAAGTTCTGCGCCGCCTGCCCCGAGCCCTTCTACCGCCTGGCCTTCCTCGCCTGCGACCTGGACCCCGACGCCAGGTATATACGCCATATTAAATTTAAATAGTTTCTTTCGCCAGTTTTTCTCAGGTCTGAGGCTTCTACTTTCCTAACTGGTAGCAGACTCATGAGGTTCAGTAAACGATTGTAATAATTTAATGCTAAATAAAATACTATGAATTAATTAGTATTTGAACGAGCACTTTAGATTAATTATAGACAGTATTGATTTTGACCTGACATGTGTGGTTTGAGTGAAAAATAGTAAGTGAGGTAGGACGCAATGTCTACGCTGTCTTCCGAGCCGATGGTAGATTCTTTACGGACTTACATACTAACGTTTTATTTAAATTTAAAATATAAAAGAATCGATTCAAAAGTGCTTATAAGAGCCTATTTGAATAAAGTATATTTTGATTTTATGTATGAGTGCATGTAGAATAAAAAATACATTACATATGCAGGTTATCGCTTAACATACCAACAGACAGATAAATTATTATATTAAAAGACCATTTTCTATCCTCTAATGAATTTATGTAAGAAAAATCCTTGTAACTTAGTATTCTAGTTTTGAATTTGGATTTTAAATGTATGAAACACTAGCATCTTCCCAAGTCTTCGCTTAGGTCCGTGTAGGTGTCTAACTGTAGTATTCAATTATAAAATAATCTCAGTGTCCATATAACATGTTTAATTTATAGATATTACTAGCATTGCCCGCGGCTCCGCCCGCGTTCAGATGACCAAAAACCATATTCTTAGGTTTTACATATTAGGATACTCTTACATTGCAGTTTTTGTATTTTTTCTCAGAAATGAAATATTTTTCTGCGGTAAAAGTATCCTATATGTTGACCCGAATAACCAGCTATCACCATACCAAATTTCATCAAAATCCCTCCAGTGGTTTTTCTATGATGCGGTAACAGACAGACAGTCAAAAATTGTAAAAACTATATATTCGGCCTCTGTATCGATAATAATGTTTATTTTAATAAGATTTTCCAAAAAATATTTAATGTACAGATTCGGCTTGGTTACAATTTTATTATATGTATAGATTAAAATATATATAAGAATAAAACAACAATGCAAATGTTCAGTTGATAAAAGTTTCGAAAAAGATGAAGAAGATCAACAAAAAAATAATTTTTAGAAATCAGAAGTAAGATGTGAAATAATAAAAAAAACACAAGTTCGATTTTAATGAAACTGAAAAATAATTCCACTATTCCCTTATGTGAATTTACAACAATGAAATATTGATAGCTAGTAAATCTATCCGAAGCTAGCCATGTAAACGCAAGCCGTCCAATGAGCCTTTCGTCAGGCATCTTGGCTATCTATTCCGATTTTTTCGCGGATTTATTTAGATTTCTGGTTTCTTACCTTTAGAATAGTTTACAGCAATCATAGTCACGGGAGAGTCTCTACCTCCCAAAAATCAAAATAAATCCTCGAAAAAACCCAAAAAGATAAACCTAAGAAACTTAGACTATTTATAGTTGACGTGATGACTGACACATATAAATGCATTTGTTCTCGAAAATTCTAACATTGTTTATTTTTTATTGGAACGAATTTCCTTAACGCGGCCAGCGGTAAGAGTTGACAGATAAAAATCGTCACGTAACGGAAAAGGTTTGTTTTATTATTAATTAATTATATTTACCATTTTTCCCATGCGATGTCATCAAAAGTACCAGGCGAGCATACATGTTAAGGAGGTCGTATGCACTCTTTGACGGGGCCCTACATATATAATGAGCACTCCTTGATGTTCGTGGTCCCCTAGTACTCGAGACAAAAATACCAGGCGAAAGTGTTGAGAAATGTAATGTTGTAAGGAATTTGTGTGCTCTCTGTGCAACTCTTTCTTCGATAAGCTTCAACATGTACACAGTACATTGCTCGATATCTATGCTACCCTGGTACTCGTAACAATGTGTCATTGCAAGCAATCGCAAGCCGAATGAAGCCGAAAAAGAATGAGCTAAGGGTGGACAGCGACCGAGTGTCTCACGATACTGACCGATATAATTCGGCAGGCCTTCGTTCGAGGTGATGGAGATATGGCTGGAGTCGCTGGTGATGCACCTGAGCGGCGCGCGCGCGCCGCCGCCGCCGCTGCTGGCCGACATCCTGCAGTACTCGCGCGCGTCCGCGCCGCGCCGCGCCACGCCCGAGCGCGGGCGCCACGCCGCCGACGGCATCTTCGTGCTCGACCAGTGCGCCCCGCCCGCTCTCAGCAGGAACAATAGTGTCAACGATGGCCTCGCTAAGGTGAGTCGATGGTTTTGTGCGCTGTTGGTGAAGTGGCTTTTGGGTACGTTCGTTGATTATGACCTTGAATTCGACTATTTGTTATTCCGATGTATGAACTATATTATTGTAAAGTTTAATTAAAATCCAATCAGTCGTTTTTGTATACAGCCCGTATATGTTACTACAGTTTTTTAACTATCCCACGGGAACTTTTTAATTTTCCGGGATGGAAGTTTCTAAAATGTTGACCGGGGATATAAAGTACCATCATGCAAAATTTCATTTAAATCGGTCCAACAGTTTCAAAGGTTAGCCCGTACAAACAGACGGAGAAACGAAAAAAATTGAAAAAAAAAAACCTGGATTTTGGTTCTATATCTCTTTTTACATCCCCTAACTCAATTTTTAGCATTTTTTTCTATATACACACATTCGACCTATACAGTTTTATTATATGTATATGCATCTTGCAGTCGCAGTCGAACGCGCAGCTCGCCCCGGGCGCGGCGGACGAGGGCGGTTGCGGCGGCGGGGGGCGCGCGCTCGGCAAGTGCGTGTCGGCCAGCCACCTGGCGCCGGCCGCGCGCGCGCCGCCGCCGCGCCTCAGCCGCAGCGCGCATGCGCTCGCGCCCGCGCCCGCGTACATACTGAGCGACGGCCGCGGCGGCATCAACATCACCAAGGTGCGCCGCCTGCCGCCTGTCACTGCTGACAGAATTCGTTGGGTTACTATTACAAGGTTCTATGTTAATTTTAATGAAGCTTAGTAATTTTTACATAGGACTTCGTTATCTTGTTATCGTAAAAAAAAACAACGTAGAACTATGTAAAATTGAATATTGTTTAGTTAAAGTGCCGCTATCTAGTGGTTTGTTTTTGCAAAACTGTAGCTAATGACACATAGAACCTTGTAGCATTAATAACTAAATAAGCACTAAAATTGTAACATAGAGCCTTGTAATAGTGAGCCAACGAGATGACGGATGACATCAGCTGTCATCACGTCGTAGTGCGATGTTGATGTGTTCCGTCATCCCCCCCTTGACGTAGTGCAAAAGGGGGATGACAGATGTATTAGAAAAATGACGTAAGCTGTCATTACTCTCATGGTATCTGCACATTGGAGCTGTATTATATACAATACAACAGCAATACAAATCAAAACAATAATAATTAATACACCTAAATAAAGAGACTTAGTGATTATAAATTAAAATTCTCATAATTAAGTCAGATTTCGGGAATAATGAACTTGATAAATTTTGCAGATTTATTGGGTCTAAATTTATTATTTTTATTAATACATCTCTAGAACCTTTTACAAGTAGTTGTATACTAAAATTTATTTGCGTCCCAGGTGGACGACATTTCCGAGTGGCTCGGCCCTCCACCCCCACTCAAACGCAGCAGCCCTGACGCCCATCTCAACACCCTCCTGGACAACAAAACACGCAAACTGCACGAAGATCTTTTACCCTCTTTCCTCCGAAACCAATCCGTCGAGGGTTTGGAGACCAGCTCCAAGGGTTACAGAGACGCGTTCCCATTCAGCAGACATTACAGCATCCCTGATGCAGATCAGGACTCTTCATCGTCAGATGACGAATTCCAAATCGAAACCCCTAGAAATAATCTAGCAAACATCAAAAATATTATTCTACCAAAAAAAGCCAGCTATGACGTCACAGATGTCACATTGCGACATAAAGACGAGAGAAGTGTGGATGCGGAAGACTGCAAACGATTTAATATCGATTATTTAAGGAAATCCCCCGTCATGTCCAAGGGCATAGACAACATTCCAAAGAGCTTAGATGTAGCTAAACAAGAAAAACCTAATTTTTTTACAAAAAAATTACTCTCTCCAAAACTTAGCAGATTATTTAAACCCAACACAACAGAAGTAGTACGGAAACCGGAACTAAACGATAACGAGGAAAAATCTAGAAGCAAATTCTTTATACAACGTCCGACATCCCCAATTACCAGATCAAATCACAGGGTCAGACCGGAACCGGAAAAGAAACCAAATTTGAACCAAGAAGTTCTGAAGAGTGACCTCAAACTGGCTAGTATGGGGAAACCAATGACGCCTATTTTTCGACGACACTTCCCCTTTGACACCCCGGACTTTACAGGCAGGTATAGCTGTCGAGATCGCAGATTCGAACCTAAAACAGATAAATTCGAAATAGGCCGGAACAGATTCAAAAATCCAATGGGAGCTGTCGAAAAAAAATTAACCCAATTAAATCGCAACACGCAAAATACTGTGTCTTTGTCCCCCGTTATCGAGAAGAAAGTCGATAAAAAAGACGACAGAGAAATGCCAAAACGACGTGAAATAGGCATCTCTAGGAGTAATTACGTGAAGTTGGCTAATTTACGGATAAGTAAAGATTTGCAGATGACGGATAAAAAAAGTGATACGGATGAAAATTCACCCGTCGAACGGGTTATTTAGTTATGATATGGTGCATATTGCAATTAAAAGAAAGCTAAATTCGGATATAGGAAGGACTTTGACAGATTGATTATTTTTATTACAAAGGCAAAGGTGCTACACCATTCAGCCCAAAACGAATTATTTTTTTTTAACTTTTGTTTTTTTTTTGTTCTTGCTTGTATGTTCTCTTTGTCAAAAATCTTTCAGGGTTCTTCCTATCTTTGTAATATAATAAACAAGAGCTTACTTAGATGTATGGGATTTAGAATTGTTGTTGAATATTACATAAAACAACATTCTCTTAGCTTCGTAAAACTTTTTTATTCAAATCACAACATAAAATAAGGTTATAAGAGGTTGCTAGATATAACCTTTTTCAGTAAGCATTAATGGCTGAATCCTTTAGTTATGTTATGGTGTATAAAAAACATGAATAAATCAGTATTAGGTTTTAAAATAAATAAACATCCTGTATTATGACATAAACGGAAAAGTCGTTCCAAAATAATGAAAAATCTTAATTCGTTAATATTTCATGACCTCTTATCAATTTATTCATGCATTGCAATATGACACTACATTATTTCCTACATACTTTAGTGGTTAACTTGACGTTTACAATCATCTTTCTGTCCATTCTCATGTCCATATAACATTATATTTAGATTTAGATACTATAGTTATTCATATTTATATAACCTTGAGTTAGCCACTGGTTTTTTAAAATATATTGAATCTCTATTAATAATAAGGTTTATTTTTGCTCTACATCAATCAGTATGGAGATACCTGACTATGAGATATAGAAAAAAAACATTCTGAACAAGTAATATAAAAAAAAGAAAGATCTATTGAAAAATCTATACAATTTTTTTTAATGAACTTTTATTTTGACATATAAAATTACATATTTTAAAAAATATATTAAATTCTTTAGATTTTTTTTTCGTATATTATAGTTACGAATTTCTTCATACTCTTATTTTAGTTGTTTCGTCTATTTTTTTTAATGTAATTTAGTCGAATATACAACATCTTGCCAAGTTAAACACTAGTGATATACAAATGTTAGATTTTTGTACTTATGTTATACAGGGGGTGGAAATTATGTTTTTTTTTTTCATTTACATTAATCGGGATCTTAAAACTCTCTGAAGAGACTTTTATAAGGCACATTTTTTCATCTTTATATATTTAATCTTGTGATGATAGATAACGTTTGCTTAAATTGGTACATCTATTTAGAAGTTATAAAGCCACAAACAGATGGACATACGCTTTATGAAAGTAGTGTCTAATGGTAAAAGTACAGAAAATAAAATATTTTAGTTCATTTTTTTTATTGTATATGTATGAACTACTATCTCAACCATCCTGTATATTATTATTTATTACGTTACAAAGTTCAAGTTGCCGAGCCAGGTGCAGATAAACATACATTACAATGTAGTGCTTACATTAATATATAGCTCGCTAGAAGTCGCTTTTATATTTCTATGTTATTACGTCTCAGGTCCGCCATTTTGTTTCAATTTAAGGTTAACCGTACATTGTAGATAAATATGCCTTTCTATCTATAAATATGGAGATTTGTTGCTATTTTTACTGTCTTATAGAATTCATAGTAAATAGTATTCGTGGATAATAATTTCTACAATGTAAGTTGAATCTTACTTAATACTATTTTGTATGTTAGTATGAAATATAAAAGTTTTACAATTTTCTATGCTGCGCTTTAAATAGGATGCGCGTGGTCGTTGTGATATATAAATAAAAATAGTTTTTCAAGTACTTACTTTTTTCTCTGTGGCAATAATGACTTGATTTAAAAAAAAAACATTTTTTTATTACTGTTGTTATATTAATAAAGTTTTAAGCAATATAATGCCAACGCATCCTATTTTCTATAATTTGTACAAAATTACCGATGCCAAAATAGTGTAATACATACATCGTATAGTGACGCGTTATAGTATTATAGGTATAGTGGAATATATCGAGATTATACGTTATTTACTCAAGTTTTGATAAAATTTCAATAGAATTACGGTTATACATAGTTGTGAATTGTCTCGCCGTACGTCGTGGCTAGTTTACTGTCGTAGTGTCATATAAATTTATTATAACGCTAAAGCAGTGCTGGGAAATAATATAAAAATAGTTAAAATTTACATAAATAATTAATCATTGGACTATTAAAACATTAAACGAAAACAATCGGCTCGAAGGACCATACGATTTCTGAACCATTAATTCCGTCGTCAACAGTAACAATTTAAAAAGTAAATTTCAATTTCATATTCTGATTTAAACTATTAATAATAGCTTTATTATTATATTAAATATATGTATATTATTTCAAAGCACTGATTTTAAATAGATTGTTTGCGGTGCTTCGTAGCACGTGCCGTGGGCGGTGCCTTCTCCAAGTCTGCGTAGTGCTCTTTTGTCGCTTTGTCAATTTACACGTAGTCCAGGAGACGACTGTATAACGAGCAGCTTATAAACGATAATATATAAAAATATTATTTAAAAATATTTTTATATATATAATTACGGTGAAGGATAACATCGTCGAAAGACGTGTGAAGTCCGCTCGCACTTGGCCAGCGTACTGAAGGGAGGTCCACCCCCAGCAGTGGGACGTTAAAAAGGGCTGGATACAATACATACATTTTGATATAATATCGTAAATAGAAAATTGTCATTTTATTTTTGGATAAAATGACTTGGTAGGTTTTGTAAGCTCCACTTTTTATGGTCGCCTCTTAGATCGTTATACTATACGCGTAGATTGTTTTATATGAAATAAGCGAATAAGTTAGTGCTATATATTATTAGATATATAAAGTTCGTTACACACATTATACTGAAATCGGCGTGACAATGGAGTAGTGTAAACGATAAACGTTTGGTATAATATTATATTATAAATATTATTGCTTTATTTCTAAGTAATGTCTCGATAATTATTTTTAAATGAAACAATTTACATTGTATTTTTTAATGTTTGAATGTCTTTTGTATACTTTTTAGTATTTTGTTTTTTGTTTACAATTCAAGATGACATTTTTTGTAAACTCATTTATGCAAAGACCAATACCAGTTTAGGTTGTCAGTGTAAAGACCAATACCAGTTTAGGTTGTCAGTGTGATAGTGGCCTAACAATAATTTCCGTTTTTTTTTTTTTGAAATATAATAGTGATTTATGAAATTAAAATTAAACAGTAATTTTTTATGTTCTATTTTTATCCATTTTATAAATAAATTATGCCACTTTTACATTTTCGGTCTTAAATAACATTTAATAGGTGATTAAACGTTTTATAATACAAGAAAATTATAAAAAATTTTTACATTCATATACTTTTAATTTCGATATAAACAATACAATACAAATTAGATATTAATTTTTATACATTTATAATATAAAATAAAAATATAACCGTTGTCTTTGATAGAAAGTGTTTGTAATAAATATATAAAATATTATCCTCCAAAATGTGAGATTTGATAGTGTTTCATGCTATTTTAGATAATATAATAATCTTTTTGGATCCTTTCGCGGATTTATTTTGATTTTTGGTTCCCGACGTTTCGAATGCTTTACAGCAATCATGGTCACGGGAGAGACCTCTGAGTAAAATAAATATGCGAAAAATTCTAATAATTAAATTTTGTTTCAATGACAAATATTCGCGTAAATCTAAGGAAGTTATATTGTGTTTGATACTAGTTTATTAACATTTTGATCCTTATACCAGAGTTGAATAGAAATTATGGTTTAAGGAACATATGTGTGTTCATTTGCTTCTTTGCGTATAAAACGAGAAACAAAGTATTTGCAAACTTATTATGATTTCATGTATCATCGATCACTAAGTTTGAATTGATTTTAATCATTTATAATAAAAACCCTATTTAAAAACTCCAATAAAACAACAAAAGCCACATAGAAACCAATAAATATTTATTGGTTTCTATGTGGCTTTTGTCGCTTTTGATGGGATTCTATAGAAGTTTTTCAACAGGGAAGTACCCCATACATCGATCAAAAAAGTACTAGATACAAATTCCCATGCAAAAGTTCTCTTAAAACTGTCACCGATTGCGTGTAGGTGGTTATTCTCATTTAAGTAAATATACAACAATGTAAATTGAACCTTAAATGTAATTCTTAAAAGTTCTTTTCACAAAAAAAATCTATTAAAAGCGCTCATTAGTCGAGGGCACTTTTTGTAGCCGATTGTGTATCTAGTACTTTTTTAATCGATGGCCCCACATAATTTAAAAAAAACTACATAAATAACCAATTGTAAATATGTTCCTTACTCCATATCTCCGACCAATCGTTATGATATTAGATAATTCCAGATTAAAACCCACCTGTTATTGTCAAATATATAAGATTTTGCACGTTTATATATAAAATAAATTAGAAATAAATACAGATTATTCAGATCGCTAGATATTTTTATTACAAATTGTATTTTTTGTATTTAAACAATGTTTTTTTGTTCTTTGCATCGTTTATTTTGTGAAATGTAAATTAAAAAAAAATTAATAAGTAGGAGTGTCATATGTGACCTGGATGGCAATCTCAAACCGACTTAAAAATATTCTAATTTTGTTTTATTACATTTTTTTTCATGTAATTTTAATAACTAGATAGGATAGATTCAATCTAAGTGGTAAAAAAACGATATTTCGCCTTTTGTTTGTTTAGAATAGTAATATCGATTAATACATTAACAATTAATTTATTAACATTATTAGTTTTAAGTTTCCATTTTTGTTAAGGCTGTATTTTGTGACACAGGGTGCCATTTTATTTTATATTTTTTAATTAGATCTTTCTGTCTACATATACTATAGTATTAGAGCGCATTCACACGTGTTTGTGCTCGTTGATATTTGCACTTTTTGTGATATAAAACCGTTAAACAGTATACAATATCTTATTTAATAAAAACATGGTGTGAATGCAGCTTTATGTAACGACAGCGGATTTTTC